CGCAATGTATTTGCTACTATGATTATCACTAAAGCGCCCAACAAGGCGCCTTGAGTGAACAGCCTTGCTTTCACGAGCTCGGTATGTCGGGAAGTTTCCAAAGTGTTGGTTTTGGGAATGTCTGGCTGGTGCAAAATGCTGAAATCAGGAGTTGGGTTCTGTGTATTAGATATGTGACTATTTAATCGAGTCATCCATTTCTTGTTATTTTCAAATTGCAAATAGATGGTGCTTTGCAGCAGCCCAAGGCAACAGGAAAAATATTCAGAAAGTTAGGAATAATTTTTCGTTACTTCGTGAATAGTCTATTATTCCTAATATACCATGCTGGCCTTGAACAAAGTTGGTTTGGGTTATTTTAGTATTTCTACAATGATAATTGAAGGTGCAAACTCTGATTCCACTCATAAATGTCATTCAACAATTTTTTTGTTGAAACAGTGAAGAACGGCGCACACTGCACCTCTTGCCATCTTCACTGATTGTTTACAGCAGCGAACGCATCATACTTGATGCACCACAAAACAACTCTGTAGCATGTCATCCACAGATAAAGACACCCGCATCAACATGCGGTGACAGGTCGCGCAATAGTGGCTGCTGATAGTCGTCGCGCCCGGCCTAGCTGACGCCCGCGTGATCGCCCGCCCGCATTTAGCATCGTCGGTGGCTCACATCGGTCACGTGTTCTGGCGGGAGGAGAAAATGGGAGAGGAGAGGAGAGAAAATAGGGAGAGGGACACACCCAAATTACCCCACACCACCAGGAGAGGAATCGGCGCGGCCATCACTCCGTCTAATGCAAATGAGTGCAGCGACCTGTATTGCCCTTAGTAAAATATTTGCTGCAAGCAAGATGACATCTCCTTGACCACCACCTTTGATCGCTCCCCAGTCCGAATTCCCAAGCTTCGGAGCTTGGGAATCCGGAGTTCCAAGTTGGAGACGTCAAAATAATTACAAAACTATTTTGACGGCGGACGCCAAAATGTTCGAAAATATTTTCATGTTTCCAGGAAGTGGCGTCACGGACGTTAAAACATATTCCAAATTATTTTGAAAGTGAACGTCAAATAGTAGCTACCAAATATCTTTTACGAAGTGTCTAGCGTTACGTCCAAATCTCCGCCTTCCCTAGGTTCACGGGGGAAAGAGAGGAGGGCAGGGGGAGGGTTAGGCATACGCATTTCAGTGCTCCATCCGGACGTAGCGCAAGCCACAGCGAATCTTTTATTTTGTTTTAGTTTAAGGGCACAGGGTAAGGTAAAATTGAAAAAAAATCAATTTTAGTTTTTTTCGCAATTTGAAAAGTTTAGTTCTTTCTGCACATTTTCCATTGTCCCAGTGTTTTTAGAAAGCTATATTTTGGGCTGAAAATCACTTCTTCCGAAAGCAAGTAGCAGGTGACCATGCCTCCTTTTGGGATACACTCCCTGCTGAGCGATGAATTCTCCAACAAAACAAAATCAACACAAGACCTAAAAGCTTGTCCAGTAACAGATAATCTAAAAAAAATTATTTCGCAACTATTGCATAGCTTTTTTTCAACCAAGACAATCACGAGACGCTGTGCAAGTTTTTCCCAGGTGTGTACCGTGTGTAAATTCAAGCGTTTGTGTTTTCGTAACGACAAAATGGTGCCATTGGATGCTGTTCCTTTATTCAATGGTGGCAGCATTGCAGAAGCCAATGTTTTGACGTTTTGTGGATCGAACCCTGTGTGGAAAACCATCAAGTGGCTGAGGGAAGTTGACGTCACTCTAATATACTTTACGGACCAAGCGACATGGCACGTCACAAAAGAGGCCCGGCAAGCAAGGCGATAAGCCTAAAGGCGAAGACATGACTTTAGCAATGCCTTTCAAGCTGGCGGCTATTGAAAAAATGACTCTGAGGCTGTTGGTGCCAATAGAAATTCGTTATTCACCAGTTTTTTTACTTTAAACTCAATTATCTCAAAACAGTGTTTTTTAGTACATAGGTACCATTTTTTCCTTAACGTGACATTATAGAGGGTTGATGTTTTATTCCTACCACATACATGGGTGTTCTAAAATACTGAACTAAAATTAAAAATGTGGGCCTAGCAGTTTTTGAGTTACAAAGTTTTTAATAGATGAAAAGAACTAAAATTTCAGTACTAGAATAAAAAATATAAAAAAAAAAACTTATTTTAGATTGGTTCAAATAATTCTAGTTCAGTGGATAAAACACAATATTTCGAACAAAATGATATATACATGACAGGAATACTCCTAGCAGTCACCGAGAAAAATGTTCCTCAACATGGCCTCAAATGCATGGGGAGTATAGGACTTACCCTGTGCCCTTAAGTGCAGACGCAGCTACGCTACAAGGTAATGGGACTAGTCAAGCATCGTCAAAAGCGCCAGTCACTAGGCATTTTTTGTTTATGGATGGTTCAGCGATGACAGAACACGTACAGAAACATGAGGCCCACTTCAGACGGAGCAATTTCACCCAGCAACTTGACGTCGCAACTAGGGGTGTCGCGAACTTTTGTCGAACCAGATTGTTCGGTCGAACTTTCGGGGTTCGACTGGGTCGAACCGGTTCGACAAACCTTCGAACTTTTCACTAGAATCGACCGGTTCGACTTTGTGGACAGTGTGGCCAGACCTTGATACAAGCACGTCTAGGTTTGGAAAAGATTTTGTTTTCATGCAAGGGGTTATTTTATAGTGTGAACAGTTGTAATTACAAAAAAACTAAATCTAATCACTGAAGAAGTTTATAACTTAATTTTTAGTACTGTATTAACTGAAATAGCCAATCATAGAGATCATATACTAAATCTAGAGGAAAAGGTCCGCCATTTTCCCATACATTCTGGCTGCCGTAAGCGGCGGACCATGCAGGCAGACCTTCTGGGTCCCAAACACGGTTACATCATCAGAGCAGTTTCGTGAACTTCAACAATCCACGAACTTACCGGTGGAAAGATACTCGCGTTCCTTTCGAAGGTTTCTTTTTGCATAGCGCGCAGATGTACTGCCTCGCGTTAACGCTAAACTAAACCATATACCCGGCTTCGCTGGTGGGGCGCGGCTGGGCGCGGTTGAGGAATACGAAACTGCGCAACCACCAGATTTCCGAGATTTCGACAGAAGGGAAGTTAATGCAGCGTAATGACTTTATTGCTTTTTATAAGCGTTAGAATAGCTCAGAATTTAGTTTACAATGTTAAATTATCACTGTTTATATTGCTGAGAGTTTTCACTCTTCGTGTTTACCACTGATCTCAATGTGTTTACCATGGCAACGTTGCTTTCTTTCTCTCGTGTTCTGTCGCTCTCTTTTGCGATCGTTCACTCGGGACCCAGGATGTCGGCGCACGGGATTTGCCACTCCTCCTCACCCACCTTTACCCCCCTGTAGCCAATCAGCGCTGCAATTAATTCATCTCTTAGCCATTATCATTCAATCCGAAGCCAACTGGCCAGCCTGTCGCGCATGCGCACACGAGTCGAACCGCAATAGAAGGTTCGTCGAACTTTCCACTAAACGTTCGGAAAAGTCGAACCTGGTCGAACTCGAACCGCGGCCGGTTCGCGACACCCCTAGTCGCAACAGCAGCAACACGTGCCGTCCGCGTTCACAAGCAGCAACCGAATTGCTACGACTTGCTATCATCATCATTCACTTTGAATTTTTTTGCACTATTTAGACGCCCAGCTACGCGCTAAAAACATGTTTTTATAGCTTTAATAGCATTGAGAATACTAACTCATCTTTCTGAAAAGGTTTATTTCGAAAAACGATTAACTTCAAAAGAGAACAAAGTCTTTAGCTGTCATCATCACCACCACGGGGGTGTCACGTGAAAATATTGTGTCCCTGATTGGCTGCTGCCGCTTCAAACGGCTCCGAGTTGTTCGAGTCGCTCGTCAGTTTCGAGCCGGACCCGATCTCAATTCGTGTCGATCTAGGGAAAGCTAGTGAACAACCCGCCACCAACCTCAAAATTGCTGGAAAAGTTGCCCCGTCTGAAGCGGGCCTAATAAACTCCATGATGGTGCCCTTTTGACACTGTCCGATTGGTCTGATCAGCTCGCAGCGTCGACTGCGTCTGGACTTAAGGTGACACGAAGTATAGAACGAACTTGGGGGCAAAAAGGTAAGCCACAATAGGAACAAAAGCAACTGGGGGAGCCCCGCTTTAGACCATTGCACCACAACAAAGCCAGCACGATCTAGCTTCCTTGGCTGAGATAGTGCCCGCGTTCGCTTCGGCACGTGCTCACGTATTTCCATACCAGAACCTGTTGAACGTGCGACTCTCTAAGGTGGTCCTTAATAAAGTTCCGATGACGCTCTCGCTCAAAACAACCTCACCTATCACGAATAAACATGTAAACAGCGCACAAATGACAGACAGCACGAAGGAGTACGAGACGTTTTGCTCTCCACAACCGGCAAATGCGCAGGACGAGCTACTGAGGCTCACCTTGTTGAAGGCAAGTCATATTACGTTTGAGAGATGACAACCTAATGAATCTTCTGAAAACTGAACGAACTTAATAAACGTGTCGTGTTGGCCGTGTTCCCCCGCTGCCGCTGCTATGGTGGCTGCTGCCGCCGTGAAAAACAAGTGGGTAGAGAAATAACTGGATACAACTCAGACTACTAGGTACTAAATACGTCTGCATCCAGCAAATGGGGTGGTAACTAGCGCTTTCTACTCAGTATTTCGTACTGCCCAAAAAATATCGGTATTAAAGTAAAAGTTAAACTATTAGTTGCGTTATTTAATACCAATATTTATGATTAATTTCAATAATGAGCCTTAAATTTTTGGGTCAGAGGTTCCTCTGGTGTATCCTCCACATATTGGGGTTTTCCGTTGCTCAATAAATTCGCAACTCCACCTGAAATGGAGCGTAACTCGCGCCCTCCAACGGCTGTTGGTCGAAAAGCACCTGCAGACACCGTTGCCTGCAGACTGGAAAAAAGCTCGTCGATCAGAATGGGTACACGAGTGATGCAGCGATAACTCTGCGTTTATTTAGAGCGTAAAGCAAAGAGACCAAGAATCTGCGAAGCACATCGTCCGTCTACACCTAATTTACGGCAACACGAAAGTCTGGACCATGTATCACGATGTGAGCTTGACGGCGTCTTTTCGGACGAGTAACCTCTTGGCGGCCGTCCGTTCTGCTTTCGCCCTCAGCGTGAACCTGGTCTCTGGAATGTTCTCCGGGGGAGGCTTGCAGGCTTCGCGAACCATAATCCTCAACTTGTCCACGCAGTCGGCGACGTTCACGAGTTTCTTTTTTGTCTTATCCGAAGACACGACCAACTTGCCGTCGGCGTCGATGTAGACCTTGGCCAGTTTCTTCAGCCTGTCCTTTCCCGACTGAGGTATCCACTCGGCAGAATCCAGGTGCACCCGCAGTTCCACCCTGAAAGGATTATCGGGGTTGATCTCACGCACTTCCACACGGTTCATGGGTATGTAGCCACTGAAGACTTCGTTGGTGCTCTGCGGGGCCTCGACGGGCTTGACGTGGTTTAGGTCGCTGTCCGGGTAGATTTTGTCCAAGCTCACTGCGCTCTTGTAACTTCGGGCGGAGAGTGAGGGGGTATTTGCGACGAAATTCGGAAAAAACGCCGCCGCTCTCGCTGCACGGCACACAAACCACATGCGCGCCGCCATTTTTGCAATCGGTGAATGGAGGTATGATGGAGGCGCGTCAGCGCGTACCGGCTGGAGCCGCAGGAGTACCACCAACTGCACCCTTAAAAAATGTGTGGTAGCTTGCCCCACCTAGCGACTATGCAAAAAATCTTATTAGAGCTGAGTTTTTAAAGGTGGAGCCTTTTACAATTTTTAATTCCTTATACATTTAAACACCTCTTATTTGCTAAAAAGAATACTACTGCTCAGTACCCTGCGTTTATTAAATAATCAGACTTTCCATTTTAATTTCCTTTCATCTTCTTTTGTTTGTTTCCTGACATCCTTTTACACCCTTGAAAGTTTTTTTTATCACACCAAGAGCTCTTTCAACCCATGAAAATGGCAATAAAAAACTCTTTCGCATAAAAAAAATTTTTAGGGTGCAAACTATGAAGAAGTCGAAAAACTCCAAGAGTTATTTTACGACCGAATATTTTTTTAGAGTACTTTAAATTTGAGCAAAACGCGCACTACAGCATAAAAGCGCTCTTGTGATTTCTGAAAAGCCTCCGCACTATTAAAAATGTTCAGTGTTTTCAGTGTAATTTTCTAAGTAATTAACTCTGAGCAACGGTGTGTCTAAAAATGCTGAAATTGACTGTTACTTTGGATTTCCTACGCTACAAGCTCTTCAACCTGTTTTGCCTAACTTGGCAACTAGTTTTTTTTTTTTTTTTTTACACGGTTACGATTATATTGCGAAGTTTAGATCCATATTTACCTGCCCGAGAAATATTTAAAAAAAAAAGAAAAAAAAAGAATATAGACGCAGGAGAAACCATTTTGCCTGTTTTGTTTACTGTCTTTCTTACTTCACTGTGCTTATCCACCTTTCGTAACTTTTGTCTATCCGTGTGTTTGTATTATTATTTTACATGCAGACGCAATATGAAAACAAACAAAAAATATACGAGGTCTTTTTTTTTTTTTTTTTACTTTTTGCTAGTTAACGTTGGCAAAGTTGCCCCTCTTCTCATCGCACAGTATCAATTATACCAGACCTCGTTCCATCCGATTTCAGCCTCCGTCACGAACTTTCTAAATCTGTTGTTTTTTCTTGATTTTTCCTCGCAGTTTGGGACTTTCACAGGCGTGAAACACTAACCAGATGGCACAAGTTTCCGTCCGATTCAATAGGCCGATTTCATCTATCCGGCCATTGCCATGGTCACTAAATGTGCAACTAAACAGGAGTTACACTGGAGTCATGCTCGATTTTTTAACAGGTGGTAGAACTGTCCCCATCCAATTTTGTTCTATTAAAAAAATTGTAATCAACCAATGCAACGAAAAGCAATCCATATGACTGGGTTTTAACTCCTGACTCTTTTGTTTTTACAATTGTTATCCAGAAAAAAAAATACAAATCGCGCGCTTCAAATCTGATGGTCTCTCGGGTTATTACTATATCGCGTCGATTTAATAAGCACTCTTTCCGTGAGAACAGCGCTGAAAATTACAATTCGCCGATGTGCGACCAGTGTCGTCTGCAACAAAGAAAGTGTCGGTTTACGTCAAACAGTACGTTCGTCCGACCTGGCCAAAATAAAATAAAATGCTTGTTCAATGTAGCAGTCTTTTTCTGTCTCACCAGAAGCCCATCCGTCTGAGAGTCTAGTGATTTACCGCTAAACTTTCACGGAAAGACTTCAAACACAACTTCTGTCAAAGAAGAAAAACGATGATCTCACATGTCTCACAAGACCCTCTAACTTTTCCTGTGCAAGCTTCCTCATTGCTTTTTTTCCTTATTTCGTCTGCATGTAACGGTTGCCATGCAGAGAAAACGCACCAAAAAAGAACGAACAAAAGATATCCTAGCAATAAAATAGTGCGAACTAAACAGCTTTCGGGAGTCAAGCTCACCCACCATCTATCACAGTCTGCATCGCCAAAAGCGAGACCTATACCTAGAACGCCAACACAGGCGCGATGACGCCAGCGAATCTCGGATGACGTCACACATTTGGGAAAGCAGAACTCGCCTCGCTCTTCTATCCGTGTTTCCACACTCGTCCGCCACGTGCACCCCTATTTTCTCTAGATATTACGATTTCCCGCCGAGAACGAGATTACGCGAGAGCGGAATGCGGCAGCCATGACGATCTGAATGAGAGGCAGAGATGGAGGGGAAGGAGAGACCAAAAATATCGATCCCCAAACTCCCTCTTTTGCTTGTCATTAGTTCACCCTTTTTCGGGAGCGAGACGGCGGCGGCGGGGGATCCACAGCTGTGTTGCCCGACTCACGCGCGCGCGCGCACACACACACACAAAGAAACGGGGAATTGACCTCTCTGCGCATGCGCGCGCGCGCTCTCGGAACAAGCGAGAGACATCGGCCGCTTGGATGCGTCGGACGCCCGTGTCGTGGTTCATCCCCGTTCTGGCCGACCGTCGCGGCCTTGACTCAAGTCGACTCGGGCGAGAGCACAAAGCGTGTTGGAACCAACCCGACAAACCGAAAGCGACTCCGGCGACTCCCCGAGCGGTGCTTCTCGGGGTATTTGGAGGAGACGTGCGCTTAGCGTCACCGACTGTCTTTCCGCGGGGATCCTCCATGGACGAGGACGGCACTTTCTTTCGCGGCAACCCAGAACAGGCGACCTTGGCCCCCTTTTCTGCTTTGGACTCGTGTTTGAACTCGTGCTTCTTTGTGTGTGGGGGGTTGGTTCGTAAACCCCTATGCATCGTTACGCTGGCGTCGGCTTCGTCTGTGCCCGTGTGAACGAAGACCGAGCCGGCGTGAACGCGTCGAAATACCTGGCCTGTATCGGTTCGCAATCAGGGTTCGGTAAGTGGTCTGCGAATGAGGGCTACCGGTTCTCCCGCCGACTCCAGCGTTGCACACATCCACTGATGCCTGCTTCTCTCAGTGAACGTGATATCTTTTGAGGGGTCTTTTTTTTCCCCGTCCGTTGTTGCAAGCCAAGTCTTATCTATCTGCGAAGTGCTCCAGTTTGATAGAACTCGACGTCGACAGCAAAACCGCGCAAGAAGTAGAGGCGCACTAAGCGAAACGCTCGCTGAACACAGTTTTGCCCTGGTTGTGATTGGTTCGGCGGATGTTCAGTGATGTGAAATCGTCGCTCCAATGGAAATGGTATCCTTGTGAAGAAGTGTTTTTATTTTTTCCTGTCGCTGTCAGATTTTCTTTCGCAGAGTGAAGGTTTCGCGTGTAATCTGCTCAAAGTTCTCAAGTGCCATCGGTCTCACTTCCTTGGTTGACTCTTTAACTGTGCAGTCGAAGGTAAACGAGCCTCACAACCTAGAACTCGCGAGAGGAGGTTTTGTGAAGAAGGAACGTTTTACAAGCACCTAACCTGCGAATTGAACTTGACAGATTCCGTCATCTTGGCTGTATAACGTCACACTTTCCTCCTATAGCAACGGCTGTCGAATCACCCGAGGATTGGAAGCTAAATCTATTCCGCTAACCTAAACCGTTGCATTTGCATTCGTTTTTTTTTAATATATAATTGTTCACCTTCCAGTTCCGTCGTCGGGCAAGACGAAAACTGTCCATAGAATGTGTTGCTTGAGTGAAGAACAGACGAGCTGAGTTCTAATCCTTTTTCCAAGCATTGTTCGATTCTTTTCTTGTCGCACACATTCCAATGTGTCAGTTTCACTGGTGCCCTTGGGAATCACGTGACCGATCTTCGGCGCCACCCGGTGGCGAGCACCGGGACCATCGCGACGCAGCAGACGACACGTCTCTCAGAGTGACAGCTTGAGAAACACCGACCACCTCTTAGCAGAAGCAAGGTTATCACTGAACAACCGGCAAACTGACGTCATCAGGAAGAACCCCGACCAGCTTCCCGCGCAAAATCATGGCGGAGGTGAGCTTCACCAAGCGGGCAGCGGCCGAACTGAGCCGCTGTTTCAACGGTCTCGCTGTCCGCGCCAAGGCCGGAGCGTCCATCCACGCGACGCCCAGTCCTCCGGTACCTCAAGAACCACGTCGTCGCGGACGTCCTGCCGCCGTCCGCGAGTTCTGGGCGGCCCTCACTAGGCCCCGGACCGCGGCCGACCTTTTCAGAGATCCCGACTATCTGGCACGTCTGTTCGGCTACTTCAAGGGCCGCGAGAAGCTAGGCCTAGCATCTGTCTGTCGGTCCTGGAGGGACGCCATCTACGACCCACGTCACTGGAGGGACATGCTGCCCGTGCTTCGATGCCGGGAGCTGAGGAAGGACCCCGTCGAGTCGAGGCGAAGACTCTACGAGTCGCTGGAAAGGAGAGGTATGGACGCCGTCTGCCTCCTAGGAGCCAACGACGAAGACGTCTTGGACGTCGTGGCACAGTGTCCGACCGCGTTCCTGAGAGCCCGCGTCCGTCTCATAGGACTGCGGTGCAGCAGTGTTTCGGACAAGGCCCTCGAAGCACTCATGGCAGCGGCCCCAAGAGTCACCAATCTGGAGCTCTTTGGCTGCAACGAGGTCACCGACGCTGGACTCTGGGCCTCGCTAACGCCGGCAGTGACGTGTCTTACCTTAGCGGACTGCATCAACGTTGCCGACGACACGCTCGCAGCCGTCGCCCAGCTGCTCCCCGCGCTCAGGGAGCTGAATCTTCAGGCGTACCACGTCACCGACGCTTCGTTGGCCTACCTGGGGCCACGTCAGGGAGGGACGCTATTGGTCCTCCGGTTGAGGTCCTGCTGGGAGCTGACCAATCAGGGCCTGCTGAACGTGGTGCAAGCTCTGCCCCATCTCGTGGAACTCTCGCTGTCCGGATGTACCAAGATAAGCGACGACGGAGTGGAACTGCTGGCCGAAAACCTTCGGCAGCTTCGAGTCCTGGACCTGTCCTGGTGCCCCAGGGTGACAGACGCCAGCCTGGAGTTCATCGCCTGTGATATGACGCAACTGGAGCAGCTCACGCTAGATCGGTGAGGACAGTTTCTTTATTTGGATTCATAATATACTCTGCTTCACTCTACGTCCGACCGCAAAAAGAAACAAAAAAAAAAAAAAAAAGAAACAGGATCACGGCGCATTTCCTTCTGTGGAATCGTTATGTCGGGAATGACACAGAGTACAGCAGGTGCAGACTATTCCAATATTCATCCTCTGCACTCTGCCGTCTTTGTCCACTGGCCAGTGGGACGCGCCCTCGGTGTGCGCTGTAGCTCTCTCTTCTGCAGAGTATCAGACGTAGAGCATGCGCCCACGGCCCAATGACTCAGCATTTTTTTCGCCGGGATGATAAACGCTGGAAAGATGGACGGCATACGCGTAGCGCTGGTCGCTTGGGGAGACAAAAACCGTTAAACAATCGGCAGTTTTTTGTTGTTTTTTTTAAATTAAGTTTTGTGTTGCAACGACAGTGGTTGCAAAATGTACACCGCTGAAATTGTAAACGGCGAAAACGTATAATGCAAGAACGAGTCGGAGATCTACTTTACGTGTTCTTAGACGCGGGAGATCACTACAGTTATGCTGAAATATTGATTCCATCGCGGTGCCATTGGACTATACTTTGGAAAATTAGAATTTCGGTACTCGGTAAACTGTCAGGGCCTTCAGCCATATTCACAAATTATTTAAAAAATACATGCTATATCGGCTTTTTCAGGACGTAATGTACGACCCCTACCAACATTTTATTACTTTTTTTTTTCGGAGAGGGGGGGGGGGGGCATGTTTTTTAAATTTATATGGTGAGCCAAAATTAAAGCGTCTACAATAAACAAACTAAACCATGTGTGTCCAACTACGCCAAGTCCCCACGATCTAGTGGAGGAAAAAAAAATAATAGCGCAAGAGAGAGCATTTTTTAAAGCTCAAGTTGTTTGACCCATATTCTGACCCACTTTTAAAGAGGCAGATTAAAGACAGGTCCGAGGTGTTCTAATTCCTAATCCACCTGGGATTAGCGGTTCATGCTGGAGTTTCTAATGCCGCGACCTACTTTGATGTGCCCCAAAGTCTCCTCTAAAACACGTTTTATTGAGTTTCTGTCCTCCTTCCAACTCCTTTATGAGCGCGTGCGATTTTTCTCTCTTTCCTTCTATTTATTTTCTCCTTTTTTTTTTTTTTTAAGCTGACGTTATCTCCGTTTTTCAGGATGGGGTCAGGAAAGGTTGTTTTTTTTTTTTTTCGTGGAAAACGTCCGTCGGCTTTGTACTAGTCGTTTGCCGGCCGCCAACCGGGGAATATGGGGGGAAAGTGTCTCCTGTAAAGGGTACTCTGCCGCACGAAGCCCTATATTGTGGGAAAGACACTCCGATTCTCGAAGGGGTATACCCTTTTTACTGCCTTCGTATTGCTTCACTCAGGTTACAATAACGGAGTAACTCGCTTTAGCCAGAGCAGATAGCTATCCTGCTCTGTGCAAGGTGCTCACGCTTACCTCTTTTAGCGGTTAATAGTAATAATAAGAATGTGCTCTCACGCGCTCTACGACTGCACAGTTTTCTTCCAAGTAGATGTTATTAGAGACTTTTAGAATTGGGGCCCCATAAAGGAGCTTGGAGTGTCGTGCTGCGCTGGCACAGACGTTCTGAGCTTGAGCAGTGGGACGCGCCCAGCTCTTCGAGGAAACCAATGAAGAGCGAGCTATTAAAAACAAAAAAAAAAAACTCTCTATTAACTTTGCCCAGGCCTTCTGATATGTGAGCTAGTAATTAGTCGAACCTGTAACTCAATACGCGTCTCAATGGGCTAATGGCGCGCTGTCTTGCGTTAGGCCTTAAAGTCCTCTCCGGTTTCACTGATCGCGATGGTGCTAGGGCAAGGTGTTACCATAGCCGAGACTCGTACAATAAGCGGCGGTCAATGTTCAAATATTATGCTCTTCTAAAATAAAGTAAAAAAACTTCCCCTAAGTAAAAATAAAAATAAAAGAAAAACTTCTGGCGGTGAATTTTTTCTGTGCCTACAGTGCACTCAATCTCTCTCTCTTTCTCTCTCTTAGTTTCTCTCCCTATCTAAAGCTCTTTATATGGTTTTGCAAAGCTCTCAGTCAGCGGAAAATGGAACGACGCGTTTTATGTTGGCTCCGTGGAAGATAGATTTTTATTTAATGTAAGAATGCCTCGCGTCGTGGCTTTCTGGGCTGGGGTATTGTTATTTTAACGGCCATATCACTAAATTCGTTTACGTGTCTGCGCTGTACTATGAAAAATGGCGCCGGTTCTGCGTACTCAACCTCGTATATATAGTCTTTTTTTTTTTTTTTTTCATGTTTTATGTTAAGTCCTGCGTATTGCGCCGCGGAATCTAAGAGACAGTAACGACTTTTCGTAGATAGTTTCCGCTGTCCCACCACGCTTTCCGCGGCCAAGACGCGACCAGTGCGCATGCGCGTCTCTAGCCTCGTGCGCAGAGTCCCGGGTCTCGTAGCTGGTAGCGGAGAGTGTTGCCAGACGTCGGAAACGATCTACGAAAAGCCTCTAGTATTAACTACATGGAAGCTATAAAAATACGGGGTGATTTTTCTTACGTTCTAAAATTCCTTTAAAAAAACAACGTAAAAACTATATATTAATGCGGTCTGCGCAGGTGAGTTACATGGCCAGGAAGACATAATGTAGGGGGCTGTAATCGTCACGATGAGGCAAATAATCAACTAAAATTTGTTAATCAGCTTTTTAAGTTGCGATAATAAACATGCGGTTCCAATTAGAAATTTGCTGACCGTCATCGAATAGCACTGTCAGTCATTTTTAGGAAGACTTTGAGCGCGTAGGAAGAGTGGTGGTGCGCTGAAGGCTGGCGGCGAGAAAACGCGGATGATGAGAAACGGAAAAACCTATTCGGAGCGCAAGTCCGTCTGCTTCTTGCACGGGAGATTGCGATGATGTCAGTGACTGTGTCAGAACGCCGAGCTCTTATCAACTGATTGAAAAAGGAAAAAAAAAAAATAGTGGGTAGACACAAACACTTCAAGAGCGCCTTCTTAATTAACTGGTCCTCGTCTTTTTAGCGGTTTTAATCGACACAATGTATCACCAACTAGACCGAGTGAATGCCTTTATGAAGAGAGAAAAGGCGAGCACTACGAAGGCGGAACGGGAGAGGAGGGCAATGGAGGGCGAGGAGAGAAAGAGATCACTAGGAACGTTAGAGGGGAGAGGAGGTTTCTTTCCTCCTCCCCATCCTTTCTATTGGCTGCCCTTTCTCCCCTCGCCTGGCGTTTCCTTCGCCTGTACTGCACGCAGCTAGTGACACGGAGTATAGGCTAGGCAAAACAGTATACACGAATGCGATGAAACGCTGGGACGTCATTTACCAATGTAATGGCTGGTATCGACTGTAACTAGCGGTTCATTATTAATGTTCTGATTTTTCCTGATGTTCAGCATCGGACGAAACCTGCAGGCATTTTTTTTTTATTTTTTCAGTAAAGCCCTTGTTTTTTATTATTATTATTTAAGCACATTTCTAATTTGGAGTTTTTAGGTTTTCTGCAATTTCGATTAAACAAGCTTTAATCTTTTTTTTTTAATTATTATTTGTGCGCGCCCGTATTAACCGAGAACACATTATTTATTAAGCGTCTTTAATTTGGAACCACGCATTTCATTGCTAAATGAGGCCGCGGCGTCTTGCTGCAGCCGTAATTCAGATGTCGCTCTTAGCGAACGTCTAATGATGCACTCGGGCAGTAATTTAGCCCGGGTAAAATATATAGGTAAGATTAAGGAACGCTGGGTCCACCAACTAATGTGCGCAGACAATGCACGCATACCCTCACTTAAAAGAAAAAAAAGAAAAACATTGTTTTTTTTCGTAAGCAGCTGTTGAGTGCTCTCAACCATGATGAGCACCTGTTTTCGTTCCACCATCTTTCAAGATTTTTCTTTTTTTAGTTACAATTTTAGTTTTTGCAGATTACCCACTTTTCGCCTTTTTTTTTTTTTTTTCAAGTTAGCTTTCGTATTTTAACAACTTGTTAATCTACGAACTGAATCTGGCTCCGCCCAAACTCCAACCGCCTTTCTTCCCGAAACCACGACAACGTAACGTCACAGATTTTGTTTCTTTTTTTTTTTTTTTTTTTGCGTTTTTTTTTTTTTTTTTTGTTCGCTTGTTTTGTTTGATTCTTACCTGAATTTAAGTCGTTCAAGTAATACGAGGACGGACGCCGTGCCAAAAATAGCGGTCTCTCGTGGCGCGAACGAATGGGTCGTCTGCTTTCCTCGGTTGTTGCGAAAGCAGCGGTCGTCTGCTCTTCAGTTTTTACGGTATCGTGTGAAATGGGGATTGCAACGACGCCCCTAATTGTTTCCCGCGATGCCGAGCTGAGGCAACCACTTTCCAACTTAGATAAACCGGGTGTTCCTGATAAAAAAAAAATAAAAAAATAACCGCGTTTGTTTTTGCCCGTGTAAATAAACAAAGCATCGCAGGAAAGCTGAAACTTCGTGAGAATGTGATGTTAGCGGTTGCGGTAGAACACAAAAGTTTGAGAACATGACGTCACCTGAATCAAAAAATGGAAGACCCCTTTTTTTTATATAAAACGTCTACCTAAGCCTAATATCGATCGTGAAAACAAAAAATGACATTGTGAATGCCTTTAATAATTGTTGCGGTAGAAAACAAACAACGAAAAAAAAAAAAACAGCAAGAAAGAAAACAATATTCGTCTTCTTGCTGTCAAGTGTTTTTCGATTATATAGTACATGTCACGCGCGTCCACAATGTCAGTTCTTGTTTTGACGATATTAGGCTTAAGCAAACATGGGCTCAAAAAAAAACAAAAAAAACACGTTCTCAATCTTTTGCGTTCTATCCTGACCGCTAGCGTTACATTGTCATAGAGTTTGAGCTTTCTACAATGCGTTTACGCGGAAAAAAAAAACTTTCTTTTTTATTATTATTTTTTATGCGTTAGCACTTATTACTTTGGTGCATGCTGCAGCCATCTCACGTTTGGAAGGTCGTGGTTTGGATTAAACGAGACTGGGTTGGTGAGGCCGTAAAGCGGGTTTTCTCAAAAACATCCGTATTAGACAGATGATGATCTACCTATATATGTACACAATAAAGGTTCATATATGCATAAAGATAATGGCGACCGACATTACAGCACTAATTACGCGTTAATGACGAACCTAAACAATGGATGCGTTGTGACCCGAAATGTTTCGTAACTCAAACAAATCGGGCATATTTATATATTATTCCTAAAAGTAAACAAAATAGAGTTTCGTGACTACTTAAAATCACGTTAAAAATATATGGCATAAAACATTCGAGCCAACTCAAGCTTGAAGCCCGGCGCAGCTGGCCGATCTCCGAAATTCGACATTCTCGATAATGATGACTTGCGGGCCTGCCATAGGCTGCAAGAAGAGTTGATATGAGACGGACAGGTATCGAGGCACTCTAGCGAATTAACAAAGGGTGCTAAGGTATCAATCGCTCTTACGTTAATCTTCCTAAGGGGAGACCCGCAGATCATCATTCTTGCTAACTCGCACGCCTCCGTGAATCTCCATAAATTCATTTGCCATCTTAATGGGGCTGTCCAACATTATTTGGCAGGAACGTCTCTCACTTGACGCGAGCTTACCTGCACCAGTGGGATCCAAGAATACTCGACCGCAACGCCACTGACCATGGAAGCGTCTTCGTCGCGGCGGAATTCCCAGAATAAAAGCGCCCCCCGTGATGATATTTAAATGTGCTGATCATACAGTGGACACGAAGACTATGTAGGCATTCGATTTTTGACTCGTGACAATCAATGCCCTGACACACATTCTGGTAGTGGCTCGTGCCAAATCGCTTCAGCGCGCGCCCTGTGCTCTGCCAACCCCAATGCGTGGCCGTGTTAGAAACATTCGCGGCTTATAATCGACTCCAGGTCACGTGGCTACTTCTTCTGGCTGCATTTTAGAGCGCCCGTTTTTGTGTTTCGCGGTGTCACCGTCGGCGTAAACGCCCCGCTAAATTTAGCGGAAAATTGAATTGGTATTGAGGTCACGTGACGTCAATTTTTCTCGCTAAATCTAGCGGAGAAACCGAATTTGTTTTAAGGGTGACGTGACTTCAACACCAATTCAGTTTCCCCGCTAAATTTAACGGGGAAATGACGTCAGATGACTTCGTGTCACGTCACCCATGAACAAATTTAGCGGGACGAGGAGAGGAGGAAGAAAGGAGGAGGGGAGGGTACGGGGAAGAAAGGGAATTACCCTCCTCCACCTCAAGAGCTGCGCTCTAGTTTCGCATTACAGAGATCTGTAATCTTTCATTTTTTTCTCGAATTTTTTACTGCGACTGCCACTGCGTAGAGAAAAAAAAAAAAGCGACGTGTGTTTTATAGGTTATAAATGTCGAGGAATAATTCTAAGCTGTGTCTATCGAAAGTAGAAAAATTGTTGCATCGGCCCTTTAACCCACATAAACCACAAAAAAAAAACGCTGCTGGTGTTGTTGATTTAGGATTACCGAAATAGTTAGTATGATAGGATATGCACTTAGACTGTAGGGAGTTTGCGGAGCTAAACTCCCTGTAGGTTGTCCTTTCAACGCCGCTTCGCTCTTCACGTTGAAGACGCTGCTACTGCACGCCGTCGTCCTGCGCATGCGTAGACCCTCTCTTCTGACCTTTGCTTTCTGCTGTTGCCATTCTCGGAGGACATCGTCCAGCACCAGCAACATTGCCAGCACCTATCTCTGCGTATTTCGCCTTCTTTTATGTTTCAGCATCGGTATAGTAGGGAGCATAGAAAGCAATTTCAAACCCGATTTAACTCGACGATGCCGGTCTGTTCTAACAGATGGAAGAACGTCGGGCTACACTTGATTTGCAATTCCCAGTCAACCTCCCCCCATAAGGTGCTCCTTACTGGAAAAATGTCAATTGGAGTGTGCCATACACTTTCAAGAAAAAAGGGTGTAAAAGGGTGTATCGTTACACCCTTTGTCCCATATAATACACCCCAAAACTTCATTTCGACGTACAGAGCCCTATAGTCGAACAGACGACCCCAGATTTTACGAGGGGCTCGATAACGGTGCGATATAACTTTTTAAACAGCTAAAGTATGTATCAAAGACCACATAAAAAAAAACACCGAGTTTTTACAGTAGAACCAAGAAAACCCCGATTTTTTTTTTTTTTTTTTGGTATTGAGTAACACGTACATTAGCTATTTTAATAAGTTGCACAACACGGTTATCAAGCCCCTCGTAAAATTTCGGGCCGTCTGTTCAACTGTAGGGCGCTGTACGTCGAATTGAAGTTTTGGGGTGTATTATATGGGACAAAAGGTGCAACGATACACCCATTTTTCTTGAGAGTGTAGTGTCACTGCGTGTTGATCTGATCATCGTATACCCGTCGCCTCGTTCACAGATGTATGCACATAACGGACATTGGCCTGGGCTACCTGTCGACCATCCCCAACCTGGCGGTCCTTTACCTGCGCTGGTGTTCCCAGATCAGGGACTTCGGCCTCCAGCACCTGTGCAGCATGAAGAACCTCAGAATTCTGTCTCTCGCAGGTGAGTGGACAGAACGCCGTGACAGAACTCATCCGAATTGGATGGGTGGATGCATACGGCTGAACACTTTAAATCGGGCGGCAGCTTGCGCCACCTGTCCGCTGCTTTTACGGTAATCTGCGGTGTACGCCATCGCAGTGTTGTGCACGTTTTTCCTCACACTTAACTGCACCACTTTGGTTTTCTATAGATTTGTTTGTTTTCGGCTAAGTACACTCTTTTTTAGACTTAGCTGCATCGTATTGAGCTTGTTGATGAGAAAAGGGGGATCGGTGGCCGAGTGGTCTAGCGCACACCAGCTCGGAGCACGTGGAGCGAAAGCTCGCGCTGCAGAACCCAGGGATCCTGGGTTCGAGCCCCCCACCCCTGCCCGTTTCGATCTGGATGAGCATCGTACCGGCGTGCGGTCGTGTATCACTACTGCGTGATGCACGTTAAAGACCCCAGGCTAGCGGCTGTACCGCACTGGCTAAAATTCTCCTCTACAGCTGGGAGACTCGTCGCCCCTGTGAGGCAGACCAAGTTCTAGGCTGTATAAACACACACACAACCCAATTTTTTTGATGAGATATTTATTTTTCTTGGCGGCGTGGACTTCACTGCATATCTGTAAATGCCCCGTTTAACGTGCGTTTTGAAAGCCTCAATCATTTCTTCTGGAAAATATGTAGTAATACATGAACAAGGTATTTGCCCTTTTGTTTAGCAACAAACTCAGTGTCGCCATCTATCCGGCAGCCCCGGCACACTTCCAGTTCTCGTATATTTCCTCCTTCTTCAATCATCATTATTTTATTATAAGAGTGGATTATTTCTGACAGGACTCGTGTCAAAAAATAAATTTTACGAAAAAAAAAAATTTTTTTAGAGCAATATTGACGGCGCGAGACAATTTAGTCGGGAGTCACCCCCTTTCCACTTGTTTTCTCTCTCAACATTTCGGGTGCGTGGAAGAGAGGTGGATCGGCCTGGCCATCACGTTGAAGTGGAAAGAGTGTATGACCGTTCCGTGACGTCACGGACGTTGCGCGCATAATTCCGACGCAACAAAAATAAGCACAGTAACCCTGGAGCGAGGAAACAAAAAGGGACGGACAGACACGAAACTCCGAGAAGTTTCGTGCCTGTCCGTCCCTTTTTTGTCCCCTCGCTCCAGGGCTACTACGTCTATCCTTAGCCAGGTCGCCTGCCTACTTGATTTAACTAAAATAAATCTCGCAAGGTCAGTATTGCTAAAAAAAATTTGTGTTCGCGTAAAATTCATTTTTTGACACGCATGTCCCAACCAGGCTGTTTAAAACAATACATTTTTTATTATTTTCAGTTGCCCTTTAAACGAAACAATTACGAAACTGACAAAAATAATTCATTAGCCTAAAATGTAGAGCAATTTAGAGCGAATGTGGAGCGCGAGTTCGTCTGCTTCTTGCACAGGGTCTGCGGTGACGTCAGAATGCCGAGCCCTCATTGGCTCCGATCGGAACGATAGTGGGTAGACCTCAAGGCAGCTAGCATTGAGGTCTGCCCACTATTCTTTTAATCAGAGCCAATCGCAGCTGGGCGTTCTGACGTCACCACAACCCCTGCGCAAGAAGCAGACAAACTTGCGCTTCGCATACTTAAATTCTTAGCTCCCGTCGCAATCGAAAGAAACTTCCATCATACAAATACTGGAGCCGTCTTCAAACGGCGAGAATCAAGTCGGGCTTGCCAAACACAAACTTGTTTTTTCTTGTATCGCTCATTTCAAGCATAATTTGATTTCACCATTCGTAACATTTTTTTTGTTGGTAATCTGAAACTGTGTTCGGGAACTGCGAGCTGTCGGCATCCTCAAAGGGCAGCCAGCGACAGCAAAAAACTGATTATGCCCGTTTGAATCGAGGGTGACGGCGACTGTTGCCACGGTGACGAACAGCGGCAAATTGTGTGTGTATACTATATATATATACTGATATCAAGTTTAACACCAACGAGAACGAAAAAAAAAAACAATGCAGTCTGAAAAACTGGGTTGACCTCGCTATAAATAAATGTCCAAAAATTGGGTCTGCGTGCTAGGCGACTTTTGCAGGAAAAATATGCATCAATCAAAACATAAAAATAAAACAAAATCGCCTACGGACTGTTAAGTGAACACTGACATCCCAAAACTTCGCTTAGTTTACTTCATCGTATGAGGCACTCAATTACAGCGTTTTCCTCCTAAGGAAAAAAAAAAAAAAAGAGAGAGAGGGAGAACCAGCGCGAAGGATTGTGACGTCAGAGATTCCGGAAGTTGCGGGGAGCCACTCCCCGTCACTCCTGGAGCAGCTGCGAGGAGTCGCTCCCCGGAACCACTCGTTCAAAGCTTTTTTTCGGATATCGATACCCATTAAAGCTACGATGCATGCTCAAAGGCGGTGGCGGGGTGGCGGGTATCGCTATCGGAGTGATCGGAACGATCTACTAAAACTCTATTTACGCAAAATATTTCTCCGCTTCAGACAGAGCAAGTGGTCGGAAGTTAGTCAACCCGATGGGCATCTGGCGGCTGTTGTAGATTAATAATTATTGAGGGTTGTGTGGATATTTATACAGCGTGTAGTCGGCCAGCCATTTCGTTGCAACGAGTCACTCTCTGTAGATGAGCAATTTAGCCAGTGCAGTACAACTGCTAGCCTGGGAAGCTAGGGGACTGGTGCGCGACTGAAAAAACTTCGCCTGGTCCTGGTATCGAAGGGACCTCTCAAATTTTCAGCGGAGCGCTATACCAACTGAGCTAGTTAGACATCAGTAAAGCAAACAGGTTTTAACAGCTGCCACCAGTCTAACACCAATAAGGGTAGACGGCCTGCATTTTAAGGTTATGGTGATAATGCAAAGATGCAAGTGAGCTGGGCAAGAATAACGATAATAATCCCTGGAGAAAAGGAACAAAGGAAAAACACAAATCTCCAAACACAGCTAGGGGACTGGTGCGCGACTGGAAAAATATGTCTGGTCCTGGTATCGAACCAGGAACCTCTCCATTTCCAGTGGAGCGCCCTACCAACTCAGCTGACCAGGAGTTAGGCGTCAGTGAAGCAATGAGTTTTAACAGCTGCAACAACTGCGTGGGTAACAACTGCGTATTGCTTTTCATGAGCAGCGCATCTCCAGCAGTTCTGTTGCAACAACTGTGATCAGAGCCTTTCCAGTATATCTTATGTTGCAACAGCCATGTGGGTAGAGCATTGTTTCTTTATGGGCAGGGTATTTCCAGCAGATCCTATGTCGCAACAGATGTGGTGGAGTATTGGTATTCATAGGCAGGGTATTTCCAGCAGATCTTAAGCTGCAACAGCTGTGTGGGTGGAGCACTGCTTCTCATAGGCAAGGCATCGATCTCCAGCGGATCTTATGTTGCAACAACGTTTGGGCAGAGCCTCCCAAGCAGATCTTATATTGCAGTAGCTGCGTGGGTTGAGCATTGCTTTTTGTGGGCGGGACATATCTCTGGCAGCTCTGCTGCAACAGCTGTGTGGGTGGAGAGCCTCTCCAGTATACCTTATGTTGCAACAGCTGTGTAGGTGGGGCATTGCCGGCAGATTTTATGTTGCAATAACAGTGTGGGTGGAGCATTGCTTTTCATGGGCAGGGCGTCTCTAGCTGATCTTACGTTGCAAGAGCTATGTGGATGGAGCATGCTTTTCATGGGGCAGAGTATCTCCAACATGTTTTATTGCAACAACTATGTGGGCAGTCTCTCCATCAGATATTATGTTGTAACAGCTGTGTGGGAGGAGCATTGCTTTTCATGAGTAGGGCATCCCCAGTATTTTGCAACAACCGCATGGGTGGAGCATTGGTTTTCATAAGCAGTGCATCTCGAGCTGATCTTATGTAGCAACAACCGTGTGGGTGGGGTACTTCCAGAAGATCTTGTGCTGCAACAGCTGTGTGGATGGAGCATTGTTTCTGATGGGCAGAGCATCTACAGCAGATCTTATGTTGCAATAGATGAAATGGAGTATTGCTTTTCATGGGCAGAGTATTTCCAGCAGATCTTATGCTGCAACAGCTATGCCGGTGGAGCGTTGCTTCTCATAGGCAGGGCATCGATCTCCAGCAGTCTTTTGTTGCAACTGTGTGAATTAAGCATTGGATTTCGTGGGTGGGGTATCTCCAAGAAATTTTATGCTGCAACAACTGTGTGGGCAGAGCCTCCCTAGCAGATCTTATGTTGCAATAGCTGCGTGAGTGGAGCATTGCTTTTCGTGGGCGAGACATCTCTCTGGCAGCTCTGCTGCAACAACTGTATGGGTGAAGAGCCTCTCCAGTATACCTTATGTTGCAACAGCTGTGTAAGTGGGGCATCGCCAGCAGATTTTGTTGCAATAGCAGTGTGGGCGGAGCATTGCTTTTCATGGGCAGGCCATCTCTAGCAGATCTTATGTTGCAACAGCTACGTAGGTGGAGCATGCTTTTCATGGGCAGCTAGGGTATCTCTAACAAGTTTTATGGCAACAACTGTGTGGGCAGTCTCTTTATCAGATCTTACATTGCAACAGCTGTGTGGGAGGAGCGTTGCTTTTCATGGGCAGGGCATCCCCAGTATGTTGCAACAACTGCATGGGTGGAGCATTGCTTTTCATGGGCAGGGCATCTCCAGCAGATCTTATGTTGCAACAACTGTGTGGGTGGGGTACCTCCAGAAGATCTTATGCTGCAACAGCTGTGTGAATGGAGCATTGCTTCTCATGGGCAGAGCATCTCCAGCAGATCTTATGTTGCAACATCTCCAAGAGATTTCATGCGGCAACAACTGTGGGCAAAGCATGGCATCCTGTGGGCAGTCTACCCAGCAGATGTTATGTTGCAATAGCTGTGTGGCTGGAGCATTGCTGCAATGACTGTGTGGGTGGGGCCTTTCCTGTAGATCTTATGATGCAACAGCTGTGTGGGTGGGGCATCTCCAGCAGATCTTACATTGCAACAGCTGTGTGGGTGGAGCATGCCTTTCATGAGCAGAGCCTGTCCAGAAGCTGTTATGTTGCAACAGCAATGCGGCCGGAGCTGCTCCAGCATTTCATATGTTGCAACAACTGTGCGAGTGGAGCACTGCTTTATGTGGGTGAGGCATCTCTAGCAGATTTTACGTTGCAACCATGTGCGTGGAGCACTGCATCCTGTGGAGAGAGCCTCTTCAGCAGATCTTATGTCGTACCAGCTAGGTGGGCAAAGCATTGCTTCTTCTGGGTGGTGCCTCTCTATCAGATCTGACATTGCAACAGCTTTGTGGTTAAACCATTGCATTGTTTGTTTGTTTTTGTAGGCAGAGCCTCTGCAGCAGATTAAATTTTGCAACAGCCATGTGGGTGCAGAATTTCCAGCAGATTATGTTGCAATAGACTCTCCAGCATATATTCCAGGTCACGACAGATTTTGGTGCAACCTTTTAATATGCCGTTGTCTCTCTATGGCCACTACTCTCAGGCTGTCCCCAACTAACCTCCCGGGGACTCTCGGCACTGGCACAAGTGAGGCAACTCCAGGAGCTCGAGCTCACCAATTGCCCAGGAGCGACACCGGAACTCCTCGATTACCTCAAGGAGCAACTCTGCCACTGTCTCATTGTGGAGTGAAGGAAAGGGGGGTGACCCCTCCCCTCCCACTACGTCACGTGAGCACATGGTGAAGAGCACCCCCCCACCCCCGGTCGTGTTTATCGGACGACAATGTTCGCCAACAAAAGCGATCTCCTACGTCAGTCTTTTCGTCCCCTCCCTCTCTGTGACCAAAACAAACTCCCCGTGACATTGTGACGACGTGCCTAAATTAGCAGATGTGACATGCAACGTTATGAGGGATGCTCTAACTGTGTATGGCAAAAAAAAATATTGTTGATAAAATCGAAGCTGAAATGGCAAGTATAAAAATGGTGTCCTCTAAGGTAGTGATAACTGTGCATTGCTTTCTGACATTTCTTGCTTCCCCAAGCAACATTGGTGAATTGTCTGCATGACAAGTCCCTGAATTCAATGTGAGGGATTGATTTAACACTGCAATGGTAAACACTTTTACAGCTGTAAAAGTCACATAGAGTTAGCAGGTGGAACCAAGATGGCAAAACAGATCAGACGATTGATTAACTATTGGATTGGGAGGACTAGAGGATTTCCTAAAAATTCATGAAGGTCAGGTGTGTCAAGGCACTTCACCTTCGTCGGTGAAGCGATGCAGCATTACCATTTTAATATTAAGCAGTTTTATCAACAGTAGAAACAAAAAAGGCTTAGCTGCTCTAGAAAGCACAATGGCAGACCAATCATAACCCTGAACACCTTACCTGTAGATAAAGTGATGCAACATTACTGTGCTTTGATGATAAACAGTTCTGGCAACAGTACAAACCAAAAAAACTCATCTAGATAGCAAACTTTCAGACTGTGATATGGCCCAGAGGTTAAATAAAAAAAATTAATATAAAACCTGTAAATTTGTTAAGAACTGCCACACACTGCACAGTAATTTACCTAAAATATTTTAAGATTTGTTATTTAATTTGAAATATGCTAGCAGATGATCTCTGTTCAAACAAATGTAGGACCTGTACAAGCATGCTGCCTATGCGTCTGGGTGAGCAAGAATTTTCAGTGGCATGAATTTTATTGGTTCAGTTCTGACACACTAGGTTGCAAAAAATTATTAGCTTGCAAAACAATGATATGTGGTAAAACCATCGAAATGGCAAAGATTAACCTCGTAAGGTAAAACTATTAGGTCTCCAACAAAAATTAAATCACCGTCACAGTAGCGCGTGTCATGATGATGTATGTCATGCAACTACGATCCCGGCCACTGATGCTTTGACATGCCCATATAGGGAACTTTCCTGGTTGAGGGGCAAAGTTGCCAGTGAGACGTGCTTGTCTTCATTTTAAAAAAGTGCTCTACAAAGCTCTCGACGGCTTTACAGGGTGCAGGAATTAATTTTATTAATTCTTCCTTCGTCATTCCCCAGCTTGTGGATGCACGTTAAAATGAAACTGCTCCAATGTTCTGTGGCAATTTGTTTACTTAAAGGTCTCAACACGACCCACATGCCTCTCCTTTCGTAACGTGTATCTTTGTGTCTTCAGAAGTGTTAAACAGCGTAGCGTTGTAATTTTCTTAGAGTTCTGTCCCAGTGTATAAAACTCACCAGCGATGGCTCAAAGTACAGACAACAAAACATGCTGATCCCAGAACAGGCGTTCATACGAGGCCGCCAGACCGAGCGTTGAATAAAGTAACCCATGGTCTGTTAAACCCATGAACCTTGATGGCGAGACACAGGCGTGGTGGGAGTACGCTTCCAGCACACGCCAACAGCAGTGCATGCAACAACGGTGGCCAGTGCATACGCCGTCTATCTAGCTTCTTTGTTTAAGGCAAAAGCCTTACTTGTCTTATTACCCGAAAAAACGGTGGCACTGTCCCCGAAAGATGGTCTTAAAAATATGTCATCAAGCACGCGCCTCAAAAATAAAATATAAAGAAAAGCACAGCAATGCAGATGCCTCGTCACGAAAGCCGGCGTGAGGACGGCGGAGTTTGCCACGCCTGCGCAGTGGGGAAGCCTGATGTCACCGCCGAGCGCTGTGTGCGGCAGGAAGAAGTGGCGTGCCGCTTGTAGGTATGCGCTGTGTGTACGAATGCTTTGGCCTTCCTACATGTAAGAAATATAAGTGTCTCTGCCGATTTTTTTTCTCTCTCTCGTTCAGAACAGGTGAAAACACTAGCAATAAACCTCATAACTCAATCTTCCAAGCAGACATTTAGAAAGAAAGGCTTCCCAGACCATCTTTGCCTGGCAAAATGACGAGAGCTCACTATTTTTCAGTCTTCTTTGAATGCCACATTGTTTCTAGTCTCGAGAAAGAGTTCCAATAGAAAGCCTCAAATGCGGGCACCGCTAATTCAAGCGACGTTACAAACTTTCCGTGGCATGTGGCTCCACGTCACAATCTTCTTGGACCGGATCACATACAAATCTCCATGCAAGCTATGACCAGAGGTGCCAGAGATGTGTCACAGTGTACCGTGGGGTGTTTCTCGAATATTGAAATCAAGTGAACTTCGTACGCTAAAAGTAAGACTTTACAAAATATTAAACTAGTGTAGCACATTCGGCAGCACAAAAGTATGCAGAGTTTGTCTGCTTCTTTCGCAGGGATTGTGGTGATGTCAGAATGCCGAGCTCCAATTGGCTCTGATTGAAGGATAGTGGGTAGACTTCAAGGCAGCTTGCTTTGAGGTCTACCCACTATCCTTTAATCAGACCTCAGCATTCTGACGTCTTCACAGCCCCTGCAAAAAAAGCAGACGAACTTGCCCTCCGCATTAGGCCCACATCAACATTGGTGGTAAACCAGTCACAACTAAACTGTTGTCTGACAAGTCAAGAAACTTGGTAACCATACTGGGCCTTTCCTTTTCGAACGAAACCACTAGCTACGGGATCGAATCATCAGCACTACGAGGAAAATTGGTGCCACACATGTCGCGGTACCGGGGTCATGGTTGTACAGTGCTGCATCAGATAACATTGCGGTGTCATGCATGTCGTGTCATGTGAAGGTGTCCCGTAAGTGTACTACTATGCTAACAAGGTGTCACATAAAAAATGTGATAGCAAAACAAATCTGATTACATTTGACGTGGATTGAGCTGTAACAACGGGTGTCTTTCGAGACCGGGTTCCAGTGTAATTGCCGACGCAGTTTGACTGTTCTAAACGGTTTGTGTGCATTTTGACGTTGCTGTGCTATGTTCTCGTGCTGTTTAGGTGGGATGGCACACGATGTAGTGCAACGAGTTTCGACGTAGGCTAACGATTATGAGCTCAATGTAACAATGTTCGGTCACAGCATGTCCGGCGGAAATCACCGACGCGTTCCGAAACAGCAATTCAATTATGCACCGGAGTGTTGTGTTTGTTGCCGTGAAACTGTGGTCTCAGTTGTGCAATGATTTTGTGGCGGGCATGAGTGAGCGTGACATGTCAGCACGACGGCTTTACGGATGTGCAGTAACCGCTGAAATGAGGCTCCAGGGCAAGTGCACCTGTTTAAAATATTACGGTCGTTTCTAGGTCATTCCTAAGGGGCACAAGACATTTGAAGCGACTCTTGGTGGTGTACGTTAGCAATTAGCCCAACAATTCGAAACTTGTCGTGGCAGTCACAACCTACTGGCATTCCTTAGTCTTAACAATAAACAGCAGTCAAACATTTCCAGAGATGACTCTTCAGCAAAGTGGAGAAAACACCGGGGATGTGCTAGAAGCGCAAGAAACTTTCAAGAGACACTTTCTATGCATCGTTGTATACACTTAAAAAAAGCCAAGCTAGTTAGGCTAACAAAAAGAAATCTTTCCAAGCTAATCTAGTGACACTGTAGCAGGCGCTTCCGCTGTGCAAGTACAACTATATCGTATGAGATTGACTTCCTGCATAAATACTCCCTCCTAAGATTACAAAAAGCATATATAGGCAGCCTATATCACACAGCAGGTCTCACATGTGGTTTCGACGTGTATGTAAGTAATTAAAAAAATTTCTCTGTGCCACTTAAAAAACAGCGTATCGTTAATATCGTAGGCTCCGACCTATTGTACATAACAGAAGACAGTGCTTAGACGAGCGAACCAGCAGCGTTCATTAAGATTGAAAGAAACACAACAGCGACAGAAATAGCTCGACAGCTATTTTTCTAACAGGCGTCTATTTTTAGAGATCATGAAAAGGGCGTGTCTAAGACTAAAAAAGACATGGTACGCATGTATATTTCCTTAGAGGCTGCCTGCAGGTCGATTCAAACGACAACCGATGTCGGGCGACTGGACACGAATTTGACGTGCCCAAAACCGACGCGAAATCGCAGAAAACGATGCACAAACCAGCCTCTGATCAAGGACCAGCCTCGTCCAACTGTATACACACGAGTGAAACATATTTGTAAATAGCTTGCCTTCAGGTTCGACATAGTTTTTCTTCTTGCCGCGACGTCTTCCGTGCCAGAAGCTGCGGTTCTTTGTCGCCCAAGCTGAAAAGAGCTCGGTGAGATGTTTAAAGTTTCTGCTGCAAATAATCTAAAAAGACTATATGTAAAGACATACATGCAGGAACTTTATTTTAGCCGCACTGCCACGAAAACATTTTATTCTCTATCATTGTCACAAGGGAAGAGATGTTGTAGCAGCCAGAGCTATTTTCTTTCTCGCCAACTTTGCTTCGTGTAAAACTGGATAAAGTACCATTACTCAATCCATAGCAAACAGAAAGTGCTAACCTCTGTAGGATGTCTCCCAGTGAACATGTAATATGACGAACAAAAAAACAACTGGAATATGCCTTTTTCCCAGGTCTCACGACATGCTTTGCATATGCATTGACCTTGAGAGGTGACCTTCAAATTCTGACTACCAGTGCTTGGTGGCATACCCTACACTGCATAGTTTCAGCTTGTAAAGCGGTTTGTGAAGTGCAACCCTACTAAGCACCGGTTCGGCGACAAAAGAGTGTTTAGATGCGCATAAAAGGTTAAGTGTTGCATACATGCAGACGTGCAAATGAAATGCCGGACACACACATACATACACATGGACAGAGGCAAGAAAATGAAAGTGTGTATATCTCACGTGCACACACATTTTTTTTTGACAAGTGTGACTTCTGTAGCGTGTATATTCCGCATGGAGTGTAGTCATAGTGAGGCAGTGAGCCCGTGCCATAGTTAGTGTATGTGGTAAATAAAGGCATATTTATGTTTTATGCATCTACTCGCTGTATTGGTGTTTACTCGTACACAGACTTCTCGCCGAAACATATAGATTGGCCTGGATTAATTTTCCCCGACTGGATCGAAATGCAAGCCTAAATTTTCATCCATGAAACCAACTTCCAAGATATTCAGCAAGGTTGAAGCTCTTTCCCTTTCTTTATGTTAGTAAAATGGAAAGGGAAGGAGACCCTCATGCATGAACTTCAAAGAATTGAATACCCTACGACAGACAGGCAAGTGACGTATGGCTATTACTCAATGACATGGCACTTTTATTTATTTCCTTTTTACAATCCGGCGCTGACACACCGCCGCTGAAGAATCACGTCCACCACTTTAGTAATCCCAGCCCTGATTCGCTGATAGAGCCCTGGAAAAATTCAACAATATCCTCGGATTAACTTCGTCGAGTCAATCAAATTTCACCAAGGAAATTATGGACACCTGATGCCAGCAAGCGTGGTTATCGACGAGAATAAGTAGTGGGTTTCCTGCAACTTATGCAAATGTTTACTTAAGCTCTAGTCACAGGGCATTCACTTCGAGGAGCAGCTCTTGCAATTTTCAACTTTTCAAAAGATAGAACTTTGAAAGAAACAACAAAGAACAACTTCACAAGAATGTTTCAAACATCTGCAGGCACTATCAGCATTGCAAGACTAGACGGCAATAGGGAGTCTTTGAATAGCGCACGCTAAAGCTTTGTGTACGCATAAAATAACGTCGTCGCCACTGTGCATGCAGCGAACGCTAACCATGTTCTGTGCTTTGTGTGCGCTATTTTTCGGAAATTGTGTGCGTACGCGAAGAGTCTTTGCGGTCCTCCAAGGAGGATTCGTGATGAGAAGTTGGCAAAAGCCAAGACGAGCACAACTAGAAAATGACGGAAGTTGGCGGCGTCGTGAGCGCGACGTCGACGGCATCCTTGCGACTGCGATTTTCAATACGGGAGGACATTGCACTTGGTTTGAAAAACCCAGTAAGGTGGGCAACGATCACCAGAAACTTGATGCTTGCAACGTGCAAACATTTCTTGGTGAAGATACGGTGTGCGAAGGTCAGTACACGAGACCTTTCTTGCCGAGATGACGCAAGCGGACATGGCCAGTCGACTGCTCGCATCGCATTCTATAGTCCGTTGCAACTCAAGAAGGTAGGGCGAGGGTAGGATGGACCACGTAGGAGGAAGCAGACGGAACGCTGGAAAAGAGAGGGGGAAACCTCCTTCTCTCTTTAGCGTTCTGTCTGCTTCCTCCTCACCGGCCCGCCTTACCCTCGCTTTACCTTCTTGAGTTGCAACGGACTATAACAAATCTGAAATGTTACTCTGAACCAAAATCTTGTTTTTTCTGAAGTCACAGCATTTCGTGTGTGAAATAAACATTGTGGCTATCTCGGTGGCACTGCAAGTGCGAGATGCTTGGGCTTTTGCGTGCTAAGTTTAGCGCTTCTGCTAACGCAAGTGCTAAATTTTATCTTTAGCATGCGCTAAAATTGAGTACGTTATTCTAAAACTCCCTAATGACTATACTGCTGGATTGAACTGTGGTGTGTTTTAGGTATACCACATGCAAGACTCCAGCCGTGATAATTATCTGCTTGCAAAGACAATAACATTAATGAGGCTCGAAATTCTCTTTCTTCCTTAACTTCCTATTTTTTTGTCCCAGCAACCAATTGCCTTTAGATGCATTCGACAGATTAATAAGGAGTTGAGGCCACGCCTGAATGATGTAATCTCAGACTTGGTGTCTCATTCCGTTTTCGTCCCTTTCATTACTATCTGCTGCTTATTCTTGTAAGTGAACCAGCAAGCTTTCTCTCAATGAGACAGAATGATTAGTATGGAATTCTTGCACATGGCTTGCAGACTTCTTTCTTAGCTATGCTATGAGGTATCAAAATATAGTGCCTTGGCTTCTAAATGTGAAGTGCTTTCTCTAATGGCATGTCCAAGTTTCATGCCTATTGTTTGATGCACTCTCAAGTATCACTTTTGTTGTCACTACCCTCAAATATAAAAAGAAGGCCGAGGAAACATGGCATGATTAAAGACACTAAAAGGCACACCAGATGACCAACAGTGTTCAACGAGCAAGAGTCACCACAGCTCACCGTGAGAGAGTAGGGAATCCGCTTCTCCTTGCTCTCGTTCTCTGACATCTCGGCCATCTCGGGACCCACTGGAGAGGTGTCGACGAAGGTCTCGGCCACAACGCGAAAACTGCAATCCCAGTTTCTCCGTATCGCCCTTACAGATTCTAGAGACGTTATATAAAAAAGATGTACGCCTAAAAATTATATTACTTAGGCCTAAGACTAACTGCCCAAGAGTGATGTTACTTAGGCCTAAAGGCCCGTTCACACACATGCTTTTGTTTAGGACCGAGCTCTTGCGATCTCTTATGTCGAGACGGCAAGCTGGAACCTTCTATGAGATGCCCCTGGAACTGCATTTCGCTAGAGCGAAGATTTTGCACGATGTGCGAGATCAAGTGTTTCTACAGTCTACGACGAGTGGTCATTTAAAACACTGTCAAAAGTTTTTCGAGCCAAGAAACAATGAAGCGTGAAAAAGAAAAAGAAAATATAAGGAAACTGATATGGTCTTTTGCAACTCAAAAAGGTAGGCCGAGGGAAAGGAAGGCCGGGGAAAAGGAAGCCGACGAAACGCTGGAGAAGGGAGAGGGAAACCTCCTCTCTTTAGTGTTCCGTCTGCTTCCTCCTCCCTGGCCTTCCTTTCCCTTGCCCTACCTTCTTGGGTTGCGACAGACTATGGTGCTCCGCAGCCACCCAATAGGTGGTTTCAGTGTGCCCTCTCGTAAGACTCTAAGGCGCATGGTCGTAAGCAGTTGCAAGTGTGTGGACCAGCCTTAGGAATAACATTACCTAGGTCTATCTAAACTGTAGTCACCTTTCACAAACTGATCCCAGCGAAAAGCTTCGGGTGTTATCGTCTTTTCCTGCTCAAATGGCTCACGGTGTACCGAAGCTGCATCACCGAGGTCTCCCAACACCAAATTGTAACCAGAGTTACTTAAATTTTTTCCGAATCTGTTCGCTGCCCACGACGGCAACCAGTATGCAAAGAAACAGCGGTGTCTTTGCACCGCCAAATGTCGTGTGACGCATATGGACCAACGACCGCATCAGGTGACAGCTCTCAAGTTAGAGCTATCACCAGCATAGCTCTCAAGTTACTCTAAGGTAGTGTGCGAGGGGCAAAACGAACGCCGACAAAATGGTGGCAGACTCACCGTATCTGCTCGCCGAGGTCCATGAACATGTCGTGCTTCTTGTCGTCGCTCTCGTACTCCCACACCCAGAGCTGTTCCGCTTCGTCACTTCGAAGTTGTCAAGGCAGCCGCAGATCGAAACAAGGTTGTGCCATGTGCAAATGACACGACCTACTGCACTCTTTTCGCATCATGGTATTATTTATTTTTCACCTAGGCATTTAGGATGGTTGGTGCCCTTCCCGCCACTGCAACTAGACATGTCTTCGATCTATCGAAAGCTGTCGCAACTGCAGGCAGAGATGGCGCCAAGTGAAGGCAAACAGTGTTGAAAATTTGACCTGCAACCCCAACATAAACGAGCATTGGATAAACAACAGAATCAGTTTGGGTCCCCTTCATACCAAACACATTTTTTTGTTTTATTTTTCTACCGTGAGAAGCAGATAAACGGCATGCAGCAAGCGAGGGAGGAATGTCCCTTGGTAGCATCCGCAAACACGAAAGTAGCTTGCATCTAAACGAGTCGCGGCCGGGCAACACAATATGTTTGGATTGTCTCCCAGAAGAGCTAAGAGCGGGAGGGAACTCATGGCCATAAGGCTGCCGACTGGCTTCTCTAGAGTCTCCTTTCAGTTGACAGGAAAAATATTCGGTCAGCCGGTTGTGGGATCTTTCATGCTAAAGCGGTATGTGCTCCCCGCGCTTCGTTACGTCTCTGTGATAGCTAATGGCAATAATCCCTGCCTAGGCAGTTTAGACATTTTATTACGACCCGTAAGCAGAACACCGACAACTTTCAGCCCGCCACCAAAAAGCTTCTAATGCCACTCTCATTCGGCTTTTTGTCTTCCATTTGTCGTCAAATCACTTGACTATCGGAGCCTGCCGGGAGTGAACATATCTCTACTCGGCCACCGTCTGCGTTTCAATTTTCGTCGCCTTCCAGAAAATGAAGTCTCTAAAGCCCATGCTTCCAAAAAAATGTAGTGTGCCTCCCCGCTATGGAAAGCCTGGCGCCGTCCCTGACTGCAGGTATAACCTCAAGCTAATCCGAGTGGCCTGTTGTAATAGATCACACAGAGTGATGAATCAAGTGTCACTGACAAGCCCATTAAAACGAGAAGCGAGTCTTCGCCAGCCGTTATCACCATTACCGCTAATAACTCTACCAGCGAGACCATCGGTGGGAATCAAGGGCAAAAAGGCAACGCTTCCCCGGCACTTTGCGCTCTATTTCTAGCTTCGGCTCAATGTGGACTGAAGCAGGCATGCACACGTGCCTAAAATTGCGAACAGGACCAGAATGCCATTTCTTTTGAATGTCTGGGTTTCGGCATGCGCTCATTGAATTTCCATTGTGCTTTGGGTATGCACGCATGCTCGACGTTTGCGAGGTGTAAAAGCTCCGTCGAAGGCAAGAAAGCTCATGCCGGGGGGGGGGGGGGGGGGGGGGGGGGGGCAAACTGAAAGACCTGCATTCTGTTCTCATTGTGTCTGCAACATCCAAAAGGGACAGGGTCACGAGCCACAACCAATCCCTGGTCGGAGCAGCGATGAGAATAATGTGCTGCCCCGACCCATTCCTGGTAGGGTAGTTCTGAGGCGTGCTTCCTCCTTGTATGACAGTCCCATCACGTTGGCCAGACAGAAACCGTCTGCAGGCATGTGCTACGCACACAATTATGTGTGGAACAAACATGCTTCAAAAATGCTGAAGACGTGTCCGCAGACACTTCTGTCGTTGTGTCTGCGGCGAATACCGCGTTTATTGTACGGGCGGCGCAACTGCGAATTTATGGTACACATCCGTGTGTACCATACACACGTGCCCGAAGGTATGGGCACGTGTGTGCAGGTGGCAACGCCTTATATATACCTTTGCAGAAAGAGTTCTCTGGCTGTCGCCATTTTGCGACTCGAGCGACCCCTATTGGCCAGAGGTTTCTGCCACCCGCCCGGGCTGTGGAAACCCGGTCAGCGCGACTCCCCACCTGCATTGTGTATTCGGAGTTGGCCTGCTTTTTTTGAAAGCTTTACTTTATTTGCCTGCTCAGGATGCTTACCCTCTTTCTGTTATCTTTCACTGTGAGAACCAGGGAATACCAGGGCTCGTAGCCTGCTCAGCCTTCGCACGAAATGAACGAAGAGAATGAATGTCAAGCGGCCCGTGACGCGGGCCATTCAACATTCTTTAAGGATTACTTCTGCTGAGATAATTTCCGAAAAGCCTTCCCGGCTATTTTCCCGGTGTTCGCGAAAAATAGCCGACAGGGTCGGGTCGGGGTGTGGGAACGGAATAGACACTTTCGTTCATTTGCTTTGGCGCGGTGCAATAAAGCAACTTTCCCAAAACAAGTCGGATTCAGTTCGATCATCATGAAGTGACTATCGTCGACACTGTGTATATTGCATATGCTGTGTTATTTGGGATCTTTCTCAAATCCTGTTCGGACAACGCGTCACCGTGGGGTACGTACAGTATATGTTGTTCGACTGATGCGACTTGTTGAATTAGATGTTGCGAGTGGCTATTAAGTGTGGTCAAATATTTTCGACAGTTAAGACCTTTCCAGATTGACATGAATGAGCGTATGGTGCCATAAAAAGATTCACATATAATGAAACAAAACATTCCACTTGCATTTGTTCTGTCGCGCAAAGACTCATAAAAAATAGCTTTCATTTGTTTTTGTTCCAAAAAATAGTAGAATGCTTTCTTAAAAGCCTCAAGAAATTCTATTCACCATAGAACACAAAAGAAAAAAGAAAATGCGGCAATTTAGCAGCCACCAGCATCTGGAATTGCACCTATGCAGGCTGTCACAGCCCACTAACGAGAAAATCCACAGCCCAGCGCAGCCAGGCAACACTGACATACACTCTCAAAACCAGGGATGCCCACTGTAAATCGCTTCGTTCGAGACTGCCACTGAAAAGGTCTATATGTCCTGTACTTAAACGCACAAGCAAACATCCATCTATCCATCTACATGTGACGGCACGGCCGGGATCATCAAATGTGAACAACAAGCTGGATGGTGTGTGAACAGCCATGATGGAGGCTCAAAGCCACCACGTTCGTAAGACCGACGCCATCAAAGGCGACAGTCTGACGTTGGCCTTATTTCCGTCAATGAGAGCGGAATAATACGGCCAAGGGACCCCAATCCTATTAAGATGTTCTAGTGCGCCTGTATGGTTGATCTTGGTTGCTCCCATCTAAAAAAAAATATTGCATACTCTCTCCTCTGGAATAATAGATTCCCCTTCCCCCTGCCCCTGCTGCCCCCCCCCCTTCCCCCCCTTTAGAAATGTTCTGCGGACGCCCATACTCCTAGAGGTGTCACTTAGAGCAGTGGCCATTGTCAGGGAATGAAAAATGGAAGGATACAATCTAGATGGATGCTGCAGGGCATCGGGTGGTATCAGGATGTCGTCAAAAAATCCCATGGACACTGCAAGTAACGTTGATTCCTGGTGTCAGAACTCATGTCAAACGTGGATAACGCAAAAGAGAATTGAAGCATCTCTTACCGTAAACACCTTCTTGGCTACAGCTCCTAATTTTTCCCACCAAGACTTCGTCCATGAAGGGTCGAAAGACGACGTAGCGGAACTCGACTGGAAAATAAAAAGGTGGCCCAGAATGGGAACTAAATCTCGTACAAATGTAGGATATCATCCCCAACCACAAGTTGTTAAAGCCCCTCGACGTGTTTGCGTTTGTCTTTGCCGAGCGGTTTCAGAAGTTGTGAGAGAGCAGGGCGGCTATGTTCGACAAATGTTTCGTTTCTCCTAAAAAGGAAAGGAAGGGATGGAACTGATGATATCGCGCCTGACTGGTTAGAGGCTCAAATGACAAAAGTTCCCTCTTTCGTCATTCGAGCCTCTAGCCAATCGGACGCGATATCGTCAGTTCTGTCACTTCCGTTTCTTTTTAGGAGAAACGAAACATTTGTCGAACATAGCCCCCCAGCGCCCTCTTCAAAGCTCCGCCATTTTGACGCCAAAAGTGGCTTCAAGATGGCCGCGTACCTGTTGTGTGGAAGGAACCATCGCCCGGAAGAATCTTGGAATCTTCGATTTTGGTGACGTCGAACAAGGCAATGCAAAGCCCCACGTTGATGACAACCTGAATCACGACAAAAATCGTGTTACCACATCGCGAAATCAGCGCTGAACGATCAACCGTTACCTTGTTGGCCAGTCGACGGTTGAGCTGTTCCACTATCGCGTCGTTGGGGTTTAGCCGAAACAACCATGGCGGTATGCGGATGTTGTCGGACATTTCGCTTATTACAAACATATTTAACAGTTGAATTATTTGTTGAAGCAGAGATACAAGCTATATGTGCTAAGAATAAAATGAATAAAGCCGGCACACGGTCACCGCCACACTTGAGACAGCAACGCAGCACGCGAAATCATGGAGGCCGCCATGTTTGTTTACAAGTTGCGGTGGATCTTTCAGAACCCGAAAGTGACGAGCTCTACCCCCAGCGCTATTCATTAAAATAAAAACTTTTTGATGCGTATGGTTGCCAAAATAATTTATAATTTTTTTTAATCATGAAGTTTAGTTTACTTTATTGATAACAACACATTTCAAAGTATTCATTATTAAAATCGGCGTCATCTTTGCTGGGTGTTGATAGGGTAATGATAAGTAAAACGTATATTTTTAAGAACAATTTTACTTTAGTTATTGATGCTTACGTTTAGCATAAGTTAATTTTAAAGCGTGACGAAGTTGACAATCAACTAGGTCAGGTCGTCTCGGGTTGTCGTACCAGCAAAACATGGTGCTTGGCCAGTTTTTCCGTGGGACGACTGTTTTGGTTTCCAGCTGTCTGAAGGTATGCCGCTCCTTAAACCGCTTTACTGGATTATTAGATGTACGCGCGGGAGTTTATGCGTTAGTTCATTGTGCCTGCTTCCAAGCATTGCAAGGTTGTGTCTAATACCCTAACGCACGCGATAAAAAAAGACCTACACATCGTGGTGCAAAATCAGCTGTTTTGGCCCGGCACAATTTGATACCTATCAGAATCACATTCACTTTATCACATCTTAGGCTCAGATGTAACCATCATTTACGTGTGTGAGCCTAAAGCTAAATGGTTCGATGGTTTGATTTTCTTTTTTATTGTTATCTACAGGTACCGTCAACATTAACCGGTCTTTAATCTCTCTGCTCTCATTTGCTTTTATTTTTATCTTTTTTAGTATTTATTAGCTTTGCAACGTTCTACAGGTGTTCAGGGTACAGGTGACCGGACGCTTATTTGCTTCATTTGAAAAATATCCAAGCACTGAGCTTTGTTAAAACATTTTATCAGTTTGAATGCGCACTTATACTGCCTGTGTCGGAATCTCTAGCTGAAGCACTGTTCGGAACACACACACGGTATGTAACGATGTAATTAACCGAAAATGTAGCTCTTATCATATAGCGTCACTTACTGGGGTGCTTACATTAGATAGCGATCAATTGATTGTATAGGTGTTTTGTTTAGCCAGCTTTGCTTGTCGTTTTTAATGAGAGCAAGATTGTGGTGAATATCATTTGAACAGCACTGGCCACAGTACTGCAACATATGAGCTTGAAAAATGCATGTAACAAAAATGCGACCTGAACTTACTCCCTGACATGATACAAGAACCCATGTTCCATTACCAGGTGTAAATAATGTTTGACTGCTTACTAAAACTTGCCGCCTTATGGGTTATGAAAGGTCCAAACAGCAGCCCTATGTGCATTGCAATACCGAAACGACACACAGATGATTTTGTTGCAACTGAAGTTAATCCTTTCTTTAGTCACTGAACCAGAGGAAGCCCCGACTGGCCAGTGAAATAAGGGCGACGCCCAATTGGCCACTATGGAGAAGAATAAGGCCACCGATTGGCCAGCCAAAGAAGCATTACTGCGATTGGTGGTGCGTGATTGGAGGGAAGAATGGATGCCAGTAATTAATCTAAACGTTTTTTTCGTTTTTTTTTATTGTGGTTTTATAGCTTTTTGGCATATCTCCATTAGATCTGTAAAAATTGGGGTTGCAGCCTCTAATGACCAAAAAGTTTACTGTATCCCAGTGGTAGCATTCACCTGCTGAAACTCCAAAGTACGACGAAGTTTGGATGAACAGGCTCTTGATATACCCAAACGGTAGTGGATGTGTGCAAATGGTTGCCACAGTTCAGGAATCGAAAGCCCTCTCTAACTTTCCATGAAACAAAACGTGTACAGTGGCCCAATTTTTTGATAATATCAAGCAAACATCAACTGGCATGCCGGCCGGCGCCGTGCGGCCGAGGTGTGCGGCGATACAGGAGAGATTAGGCACGTGTACACAAAGCTCTTTCCGGTGCAAGCGTCGTTTGCTAGGATATTCCGTTGCCCGCACACAACCCCCTGCACCTTATCTGCTGGCAGAGCTAACCGCCTTTAAGCAAAGACCTGAACAACGCTTGCTTGTGTGATACTGCTCAGGTGTAGCATGCATAAGCCGCGCATCATAGCACCACTGTTTATGCCGCGCAAGGCGAGTATCACACCAGCGCGCCCTCCTCAGACATTTGTTCTACCAACAGATAAGAGAAGCAGAAATAGAAAGAGAGAGGGAAAGAGAAGTGGGTTTCGGATAAACAATAATGTCGTCAGTCAGTGCCCTGTGCTCCTTTGCTACGGAGCAGGGGCTGTGTGCGGTCAGTGGAATTGCCTAGCAGACGACGCTCGCACCGGAAAAATCTTTGTGCGCACGCTCTTAATCTCTCCCGCATCGCTGCACGCCTCCGCGGCACGGCGCTGGCCGGCCCGACGGTCAACGCTCGCTTGGTATTATTAAAAACTTGGTTCACTGTACTTTCAAGCTGGCTATATTACCTTTCTTTGGAAAAACTAACACATTTCTCCGTGCAGGTGCCAACTTTCTGAGCTCATTTTACAACAAAACAAAATGTTAGAACACGCACAAAAAAAAATAAAAATAAAAGGAGCCGTATGACTTGCACAATGTCCACACTGGCGCCACCTATCAGTAACCTTCCGATCTGCAGGTAACTAGACCGAGTGTTTTGCAGTGTTCGTGAGTTCAAATCTGCGCACCATCTGTGAGAAGTGGCCTCTTTTAACGTTGTCAGCATAATTTCGAGTCCGTGGCATAAAGACAATGTGTAAAAAAAATGGGGACGTATACTCGGATTGGAAGCGCTTCATGGCTTACCCGACATACAGTGCCAGTGTAGTCTCTCGTTGTGAGTGGTCCCGGTGATTTTCTGATTTAGCTACCCCAACTAACTATATTTTCTGAATCCCCGGCTTTTGCCCTTTTTGGTGGGAATATTTGGTATCGCAGATTTCGAAACAGTTTTTTTTAAGTCAGCAAACAAAGGTGATGCACTGGCAGGCAGGCTTCCGAGTCGAGCGGACACGCTAAAAAAACTGAGCATGCCAAGCGTTTGTTTCATTGCGCTGCTGCGCAAGTGCTGGGACGAGCTTCCAAATCATTCGTTTGAAGCCATTAAACTGCTCGCGATCGATTGTGAACAGATCATACAATCCAAAGGGTGAGCCCTTGTCTGTTGCTAATGTCACTTTTTCGTTGTAGCCAAAACCTTTCTTTTACTTAAAAAAAAGGCAAGGACATAAATGATTTACAATAATGTTGTGTGTATGTTTATTACAGCTGGAAGTTAGCCTCAACGGACATCTAGTGTCAGCTGTAGATAATAAATTTATTCAGTGCAGTACAACTGCTAGTTTGAGGTCTTCAATGTGCAATACAGAGTAGTGATACATGACAGCACGCGGGTACGGTGCTCGCCCAGACGGAAACTTGCAGGTGGCGAGGATTGAACCCAGGATCCCAGGGTTCTTTAGCGCGAGCTTTCGCTCCACGTGCTCCAAAACCGGTGTGCGCTAGGCCACTGAGCCACCAATCTCCCGTCAGAAAATTGTAAATTCAATAACTTTTCCGCGAAACAAAAATGTTCTTTGGCCAAATATTTGGGGGACTAGTTAAGCGATGTTGGTTTGTGTGTTGATTTCAAGGCAAATCGGGGACCGTGAAGAAAACGCTGGAGCACCCCTTTAAGTCTGCTTTCGTTTCTGCCTTGCAGCGGCAACTGCACGCCACACCCGCGATCAACATGCAAATCAAGGTGCTGAATGCCCTGCAGGACAATTACATGTACCTAGTCGTCGACCCGTCCACAAAAGAAGCTGCCGTTGTAGATCCCGTGGATCCGGAAAAGGCAAGGGCTTTTTGCTGCTTGCGAGCTGCAGCTGGATTGTCTTTCAGAAGCAATTTTTATTTTCGCATTGCTGATCGCACAGTGTGTCGTAGTCAGTCCCTCCATTAGGGGGAATCACTTCCCCATAAAGGGAATCTGTGCCCCCATTAGGGAATCTTTCCCCATTCGGGAAAATCACTTCCCCACGAGAGGTAATTCCCTCTCATTCGAGAAGTGCTTGTAAAGCTGATAATTATAAATTGTGGCTCTGAACTTTGATCATTGTACCCAATAGACCCTCTTCAAAATGTAGTGCCTACTGGTGGCTAAAAACGCAGTTTCACTTTCGACGAACTGTCACGAAATGTATATCATCGGGCATCGTCACTTTCGCATGTCGGCGGCAGATGAGAATTGGGTCTTTGATCACCTCTTAATCCTTTCCCGATTTGTGTCAGTTTCAGTGATGTGAACATAAGGACTGACCAGTACAGAGTGGTGACCCATGAGCCCTTGATTAAAATTCTCCCATCAAAAGGCTTTAGAGCTGAACTTGTGCCAAAAGTCTGATTGGACAACATGCCGAAATAAACGCTGACGCAGCCGTTCTATCTAATTTTTGCGTCGTGTTGTACTGATGACTCTAACGCACAGGCTTTGTATGTCCTCTGCCTGGTAATATCTTCAACTTCTTCTTTTATCAGCCTCAAGGCCACCATTAGTTTGGCACAGATGCCATACACTGAGATGATGATAGTGATCAGCATTGCCAGACTGACTTTTGAAATGGGTCTAGTATCTCCAAATCAATAAAAAAAACTGCTCCAGCTTTTTATTTTTTATGAATGTAACAAGGTTGCATGTGCAGTCTTTAAAAAAAAAAAAAAGAACAGCAGTGAAATGAGCACACATACCTTGCATGCCTCAATTTGTCACATCTCTGCAAAAAATCAAAACAATCAATTTGGAGGTACATACTTGTGTGGCCCATTGATAGGATATATAGTGGTGGACGAACACCTAAACGAATGTATTGGCAAGCAAGAGATTTAAACCTAGCATGTCTCAAAAAAGTTTTGAGTGATGAATGGGTGTGCTGGCTAACAGTTACGAGACTCAATGGTCGTGTCGTCTAAAATTGATGAGATGTGAACGAGTTTGATGCCATGAACTTACGAGCATGTTTAGCAAACAGTTGAGGCTCAAACAAGCATATTGACAAACACAGAAGAATAAAAGCAAAAAAGCTTGTGTACGTCTGTTTTCGTCCCTCTGCATTTGGCATTTTCAGTCTCGTAGTTGTACATTGCATGGCTATACTCCGTGTCACTAGTTGCGTGCAGTACAGGCAAAGGCAACGCCAGGCGAGGCGCGAAAGGGAAACCACAAGGGAGGCTGAGGAAGGGGAGAGAAATCTCCTCCCCTCTCCAACGTTCCAAGTGCTCCGTTTCTCCCCTCGCCCTCCATTGCCCCCTCCCCCATCCCGCCTTCCTAGTGCTCGCCCTTCCTTTCTCTCTTCTCCTGGCGTTGCCTTCGCATGCACTGCACACAACTAGTGGCACAGAGTATAGATGTGTTATTCTTATGCTTAACACCAACAAGATGCAACTCATGCACCAACTAAAAGTGTGCTCTCATATCTTTTTTTTTCTTTTTTCATTTCAAAATTACCTAGGTGCTTGAAGAGGTGAAGAAATTGAATGTAAAGCTAACCACCGTCCTGACGACGCATCACCACTGGTGAGGTTCAGCAATTCTTTATTCTGCATTGTCGATTGCACCTTGGAGGCCACCAATTGTCTCGGAACAAGGCAAAGTATACGGGTCAAAAAGCCTTGAAAAACCATTTAGTGGCAGTTGCTCACGAAATCCGGGTGAAATGACTTCCTTCAGACTATGCTCACAATAATCTGTAAATACAGCGATAGATGTCTGTTAAATGCCAGCGTGCTGAAACCTGACCACGAATCACTTTGTTTCACTCTGATGCAAGTAACATTTTAGTTGTTGCCGAGCTTTGATTACGAAAGGAGTTTGACTTCATCCCACTGTAGTCAAGAGTACAAGGCCCCATTTCAAAATATTGATCGCTTTTAGAGGATTGGCACGGCGATTGGCCGATGCCCAAGATGCATTGGTCAATCGCACCACTGCACCGATTATTTTCTTCTCGGCCTTTTCTGACACACTCTTTGTGTGCGCAATCCATTTTCGATCAGGTGCTTTCTGGCCACCGAATTCCCCGAAACGTCATCCATGTCTTCCCTTTCTTTAGGGACCATTCGGGTGGCAATGACAAGCTGGTCGAGCTCTCTCCTGGGCTGGCCGTGTACGGGGGCGACGATCGCGTGCCCAAGATCACTAGGCATGTCCAGGACGGCGAACAACTCCAGGTTAGCGCAACTTGGTCGACGTTTTTTTCTTGATCGTTGTAGTGAAGAGGTTGTGTGTCTTGGCAACTCTTCTGCTTGCGCGACCTATAGGCGCTTTGCGGCAGCTGTCCATGGGCACTGCCATAACCGACCTTCAGTTTTTGTTTTTTTCATATTCCGTTTACTTCACTTCATCGTTACCACAGGAAGACAATTTATTGCCATTTTAGATTCTACTATGTCCTCCCCAGCCTAGGCCTTTGTGGTGGCTTGTCAACGCCTGTTTCGGTGGTTCAGCATCTCGGTAAGGCAATGGTGGCTGTAATCTGGCTTGTGTGTAAAGCGTATATATCTACGAGGGTGCTTCGAAAACCAAGTGCACAAACATTTCGGTACCGTCACGCACAAACTTTTCCAAACCCAAATTTGTCCTGGATTATTGCGCAGGCAGAGCCATGGCTGTTTGGAAAATGATAGGGTTGTTCAAATATTTGAGTGTCCGAATAGCATTTTCGAATATTGTGCTATTTGCTTCAGGGTTAACTGCGGTATTCTTGTTTCTTGAAGCGTTGATTGTGGCAGTTTAGTCCCGTTGAGAGCGCTTTTTACCGAACATTGGTGCACTGCAAAGAGGAGACATCCACAAAGCTTGCTTTTACGGGTGTTGCTTCTCTGCAGTGCACTAGTGCTCGGTGAGGAGTGCCTTCAATGGGACTAAAACGCCTCGATCAGAACTTCTAAAAGTACAAGTATTGCGGCCACGTGCTTAGAACCAAAGCACAATTTTAAAGCGGTATGGTGCGCGTGCCTGCCTAATGTATTTAAAAAGAAACAAACTTTGTAAAGGTTAATAAGCTACATTTTGAAACTAAAAATCTTCAAAATTAAACTGGCTATTTAGGCATGAGTATATGTAGGACAGAAATGGATATTTTCATATGTAAAGAGTATATATAATTCCTCTCGATTAGGTATAGCAGGGCATTTCTATAGGTCCCATTTTATGTCAAATGCACCGTTTACTTGCCATCTCAATGTAGGCATTGGACGTCAATGAGGCATTGGCTTAGAAATGGACAAGTGAAAGCTTGGGAACAACTTTGACAAGTTCAGCCGAGTTTTCATATAAGCACGGCGTAGTGGTGCAAGACTTAGAGAAACTCTTCTAATATAAGAATATTCGGCCAAAACCACTATTCGCATACGGCTAGGAAATGATTTGCCTCATCATTTACTGTCACTCATCTATCCAACAGAGTCCAGTCAAGTGCACACTCAATGTTGACATCAGTCATGGACGCGGAGGGGAAATCTGGCTCCACCCTCATGGCCGACGCCTGTCTGCATCCTTCCTTGAACTTCGGAATTCATTCAAACACACTTCTTTGCAACGAAACACTTTCTTGATACTATGTGCAAAGTATCGGCACCAGACACCCCTTCAGACTAACTACAAAAAACGAAGCACTGCACGCTGCTCTCCTTTCGTGCAAATCACAAATGGGGCAGCCATTGTTTCTCGCACCACAGTTACAATTAAACCGACTTAACACATGCAAACCTGCACAGCAATGATTTCAGAGACAGCGACCCCGTACAAAAGGCGCCGTAAAGAAGGTGTGGTGAATGGAAGTTTGAAAACAACCAGAGTGTGGGCGAGTTTTGAAGCACCCTTGTTGGTTAATCCAGTTGTAACAGTCCCACTTATAGCTAAGGTTCTGTGCTCCTGATGCATCCCCACAAACCCGGGAAAGTAACCCGCCAAGCTGGTTTTGTCAGAACGGGGGAAAATCATACCTTGAATCGGAGCCGTCCTTGGATTAGAAAAACACAAGCTTCACGGAAAGAAATCTCGAAAGCTTCACGAGAAGAAATCTTGATCTACAGCTTTAGACAACTATCATAGTTTGTCTAAGGCTTACTCTGCGTAAGTGCTAGTCTAGTTTCACCCATTACAATGAAGCCAGTCACACCGGTTACTGGTCAAAGCGTCGAAAAATGTGAGAGGTTTGTTCCGACGGTTATCCGACAAGAGCTGTAAATTATTTTGCAGCCCCTTCAAAAGCTGCACAGGACGTAATCTCGACTTTGCGAGTGACTCATTGTTTTTGTCAACGCGCAGGTCGGTCAGCTGACGGTAAAGTGCCTGCACACTCCGTGCCACACTTCGGGTCACATCTGCTACTTCTTCCCTGCATCCAACGGCGACGCCCCTGCCGTCTTCACAGGTCAGTGGGGCTGCTGACCTGGCGGCTGGGCATTTCTGCAAAGTCTTCCGAAAATTCTAAAAACTAGCGTTTAAAAAAAAAAAAGTCTTTTCAGGGACAGATTTTCAGTTACGTCGGACTTCGAGGACTGCAAAAGACGTACTACTTGGCTAAATAATTGCCTGTAATTTAGTAATTAACCTTTTGGATTAGAAACAATAAACATGTGGTTCCAGTTAGAAACTTGCTGAGCGTATTCGAAAACTCCTAAATCATTCAGTTTTAGAACAATCTTAAGTGTGGGAACGCGCTAGAGTTGCCACTTGTGTAGCAGGCGCAAGGCCGACAAGGAGAAAACGCAAACGGCAGGAATGTCGTCCTCGGTTTCACGTGATTTTAGCACACTCCCGGATAAAGTCCTCCTTGCCTTGGTCGCAAGTGGTGCCGCTGGAATATTCTCCAATAATTGGCTAATGGTTGCCCATCACGCGCCCGGTTTCCCACGCTTCTCTGTAGGAAACGTGCTTGCTTTTAAAGTCGTTCTCTGGACCCTACTTTACGAATTGAGTGCTTTCCCCGGCGTAACACCGTTTCCAGGAGACACCATGTTCATTGCCGGGTGCGGCAAGTTCTTCGAGGGCACGGCCGACCAGATGTACAAGGCGCTCGTCGAGAAGCTTGCAAAGCTGCCCGACGCAACGGTGAGCCATAAAGTCTTCTGCTCCGACATGTTAATGAGTTGAATGCTGAACTGCCGTCAATAGCTGCCATTAGAGCCACTGTATAGGCAGCTTTGCCTGCCAAAGTAGTGCCATGCTTCTCTTTTTTTGAACGCTTTGTGAACAAGATTTGGACACCACGTGTTCCTCCCAAGGATACTCGAATGAGAACTCTCTCCGACACCCAAACTTTGCAGTGCATGTCAAGAACCAGTTTTTTCACCCAAATTCCAATAACTTGCGCCTCTGGGCCTCTCTAGTGGCAGTCTAAGCGATTTACGGTGCGAGTCTCTGGCTTTGAGAGAGTGTACGTCAGTGTTGCCCGACTGCACCTGGCTGCGAGTTCTCTCGTCGGCGAACTGTGGCAGCCTGCGTGGGCAAGATTCCGGACACAGGCAATGGCTGAATCGCTCCATTTATTGTTCCTTTTGTGTTTCATGGCGAATACTGCTTACAACATGAAATTTAACAGCTCTCATCAATTGAGAAATGTGTTGCACATACCCCTCGGTGCCGCATCATCCGAACAGGGTTTGTGTGAGAAAGATCTCGAACAACACAGCATATCGAATCCACGGCATCGAGGACAGTCACTTCACGACGATTGAGTGAAATCCAGATTTGTTTTAGGGCACATTTTGAGGAGAGCTTGTTTCTTGCACAGCACTCGAGCAAAGAAACAGAAGAGTCAGTTTCGGCCCCTACCCCGCACCCAATCAGCTATCTTTTGTGCTGACAGCAAAGGCTTTCCGGAGATTATCTCGGCGGTAATAATCCTCGAAAAGCGTCAAATGGCCCACTTCTTTGGCCGAGTCGACATTCACTCTTTTCATTCGTTTCCCGCGAAGGCCGAGCAAGCTATGAGCCCTGGTATTCCCTGGTTCTCGCACAGGAAGATAACAGAAAAAATCTAAGCATCCTGAATAGGCAAATAAGGTAAAAAATTTTCAGAAAGGCCAGCAAAACCCGATACAAAGCAAGTGGCGTGTCGCGCTTGCCGGGTTTCCACAGCCCAAGCGGGTGGCAGAAGCTTCTGGCCGATAGGGGTCGCGACAGCCGCAAAATGGCAGCGGCCGGACAGCTTGTTTAACGCAGTAGCGTTGTGGAGCTTGTGTTGCAGAGAAACCGGCGGCGGCGTGACGGGAAAATCCTGATTGGTCGATAGGGTCATGACGTCACAGCCACACAACCCTGCGCGGGAATTTCAAACAACCCAGAATGCTCACGTAAAACGTGACACAATGCGTGGAAGGAAAGTGATTAAAGCATGAGATGTTATGCAAATTAAAAATTGCCACATGTCTCGTACGAATTCACTTTATAAAGTAATTCATTTGCCTTAAAGAAAAAATTTGAAGAATTTTAGGCGGGATTCGGACCCATGAGTTTTCGGTTGCAAGTCAGACACGCTACTGACCAGGCCATTCAGAGACTCTTGCTACTGTTGCTTGGCTTGGGAACAAGCAGGAGTTTATATGTTTAGCTATCGCGTTCCACTCTTAAAGGCAAAACTTAAGCGTCCTCCAAGTTTTTTTTTAGAAAAGCCTATATTTACATTAACTTTAAACTAGCGCACTCAAATGAATGAAGCCGTTGAACATGCGAGAGTCTCGCTAGGACCTGCTGATTATTTGGTTGCCACGCGGGCTAGATGGCGCAAGTTGCTGCCCAATTTAAGGGGTTCAGCCATATGCATGCATCCATCCATTCTTTCATCTATCCAAGGCAATTTTTGAGACCCATATGGACATTGCCATTGCCACTTTATGTGTTGTTCGTCCGGCTCCTTTGCCTAGCGCTGTTACTGTGGCGAATAGAGCTGCCATATATAGTGGATCTAGCCATTGGGACTGAAAAAAAGTAACCTCTTACAAAAATTGTGTTTGTCAGAGGGTGTTCTGCGGCCACGAGTACACCATCAACAACCTCAAGTTTGCGGCGAAGGTGGAGCCCGGAAACCAGGCCATTGTGGACAAGATGGCGTGGGCAGAGGTAATGTTTTAGCTTGAAAGTAGGCTCGAATATTTCAAACAAATTTAAAGATGATGGTTGTCCCGCTATGCTTTCATTCATAAGCCACTTCATTCGAATGGTGTTTTCGTGTAATCCATACTTTTTTGTTCTCGTGGCCCTGTTGAGTGTGTTTCTTTCCGAGAGCCAGTGCACTGCAGAGAAGCAACACCTGCAAAGCTTGCTTTCGCAAGTGTTGCTTCTCCGCATTGCACTGGTGCTCGGTGAGAAGTGCACTCAACGGGGCTCAAGCAGGGCACACATAAGCTATGAAAACGGGCACTACGCGGAAATTTCCACAGCAACTCGTGCGGATGTTGTGACGTGGCGGCATGGTATGTGAGTCGCTGTGAAAACTGCCGCACGGTTCCAGTTTTCATCGCTCGTGTTTTCCCGCTTAATTGTTTACATTAGACAACTTCTTGGCCTGATGAACAAACTTAATTTTGTTTTGAGTTGTTGGGCTGTCTAACAGTCCACAATAAACAAAATTTGAGGGATAAATAAACTTCCCATACATTTCACAAATGCTTAACGTGTGGCATACCTGCCTATGATCAGGAGGCCTACATAGAGATAATCATCAAATACCTGCTTTGTATTTGTAGCCATTCATATGGCGAACCATAATTTTACCTTGCATCATATTTAGACGAATCTCTGATAATTCAAACAAAATTTGTGGCTTCCTGGAGTTTGAACGAATGAGTCTGCTGTACACTCTTACTATAGTCGTTCTCCAAATACATAGTGGTTCTCTGGCAGTTGCATTATGTGTTCTTCCAATTCGTGTTCTCTGGACAGGTAAAGATTCTTGGCACCTCTATTATGTGTTTTCCGAAGGCGTGACTGAAGTGCCGTATGCCGAAATGAACACATTCTCGAAACTTTCCTTGCAGAAAAAGCGGGCCAAGAACGAACCGACGGTTCCATCGACCATCGCGGAAGAGAAGACCTTCAACCCGTTCATGCGCGTCAACGAGTCAGCGGTGCACAAGCACGCTCACCTCAACGACCCCATCTCGACGATGGCGTACCTCAGGAAGGAGAAGGACCACTTTCGTCCCTAGCCGACAGATGTGCGACTGGCCGTCGGGCGGCATTGGTACGGCTAGCAGACGACACCGGAACAGCTTGCAGAAGACATTTGTACGGCTAGCAGATGACATTGGTGTGGCTAGCAGAAAACATCGAAAGGGCTTGCAGACGACACTGGAATGGCTAATAGACAACAATGTAACGGCTAGCAGACGATATTGCTACGGTTAGCACTTGACAGGGCTAGCAGAAGATGCCAGCTGGGCTACCGAATATCGCACTAAGTTAGCCAACAGTATATGATGAGCTAACACGAATTAACCAGTTTGGAATGGCGTCGAGTTGGCCAGGAAATGTATGCTATGCAAGCTTCACAAGTGGCTTGAACAAAATGCACTAAAACTGGGCCATAGCCAGCTTAGTGGATCACATGAAGTTAACCACAATATCAAATCTGCAAGCAAACAATGTTGATGGAGTCGCATCAGACGTCGTATGCCCAAACTGGTTGTCAAATGTCCGAATGGCTGAGAGCAACAACTAAATGCAAACATGGGGGAAAAAAAGAAAAAGGAAGAGATTTAAATCGATGCAGGCCCAACGATAACGTGAGCTTTCTTATTCCCATATCGTGAATATACATATATATATATTGTATGTCAAAATGAGTGTTCTTGTGGAATTTTTGTTTTATTAAATGGGCAGTGGCAGGGTCGTTTGCCTGAGGTGCTTGTCTGTTCTAGGCAGTGGCGGCTAGGAGCTCACCCTTTCCTTAATGCTTTTATGTATATGGCTGCAACATGCAGTGGTGTACGTATATCAGCTTCGGCTCTTGGATGCCGTTGCCTCTCGCTCGTGCTTTTTCAACTACGGGTTTCGGTGCACAATAATCCTCAAACAGTTTCTTTTTTTTTAAGATGCTTGCCGACTCTTTTTTGCCTTTGTCCTATTTGCTGAATAAAAATAACCGAGAGCATTGTATTCAAATTAATTTGTTTGCAGATTCTTTTGTCAGAACGTCACCACACTCCTGTAATGTGCAGCGCACACGAAAAAAGCTAAGAGTGAATCGTAAGCATACTTAGTGCAGATTTCTTTCGAATGTGTATTTTACTGATTCAATTGCAAAACTTCAGACATCCACTGCATTCCACGAGGAATAATCCGGTAAAAAGAGTTCAATAAAAGACAGCATGAATACACACTTACAAAAATAATTAACCATGGCACGCCCTTCGAGGATACGCTTCTGCGACTATTCATGTAAACGTTGCCGCACGCCTATAGTATACTTCACCTTACGATGAACCGCAGAGGACGCTACACAACAGCAGACTGGATCATGTGCTGCGCAAGCGTTGCATTGGCACGTAGTCGCGTAAAACATTCACTGCACCGGGAAGGCTCGTAGCATCTGCTGCGGTTCATCATAAGGTCTAACCTAGTTTAGTATGAACGACAATGCAGCTCCTGCTTTAAAATAAAATTTGTTTGGAAGGAATGTGCTGCTATTCAACAGATGCATGCATCACAAAGGCTCAATGTGGTAGTAGTAGTAGTAAACTCTATTTTGTCCGAGATGGGGTTTAGAGAGGAGGGGAGTGGGAGGGCTCGTCCTTTTCTTCCTTAGGCAGCGGCCAGGCTTTGGGCTTTGGCGGCGTCTTCAGCTATCTGGACGACCCAAAGTTGGAGATCCGGATCTGAGCTAAGCAGTGCAGTCTCCTACTACTTCACTTAATGTGGAAGTTTTTTGTTTTTTTTAATCAGGCAGCAGATGTGGTCGGAACGTTGTCACATACTGTGTTGTGCTATGAGTGCTCTGGTTCCGACTGCGAAGTCTGCAGGTAGAGGGGCAGTTTCTTGCGAACGTCCGTGACGTGAATTTGCTCCTTGAAGGAAAAACAAATGTCTATCAAGTATGTCAACACATCGACGCCTTTAGCAACGTAAAGCATCGTGAACTGTTGCTGGCAAAATCTTTGTCGAAGGAACAACTTTTTTTTCTAAGGCGAACACCTCACTTTTTTTTATTACAGTAAACTTTCGTTAATTCGACCTCGACGGGACCTTGAAATTTGGTCGAATTATACGAATGATCGAATTAAAAAAAGGACAGAAAAACGGTTAAGATTAAACTTCCTTCTATTGTCCAAAGTACTCACGGATGGTCTGCTGCCGTCTGCGCTTAAAACGTCCAGAAGCAGGCTTCGGAGAGCAGCATAACTAAACGTTGCGTACCACAAAAAATCGTGCACTAAAAAAAAAAAAAAAAAAAAAAAGAATTGAAAAAAGTAAGTTTTACGAGAAAGTCGGCTTTGCGACAAAAAAAAAAAAAGAATTCGCGTTTTCCGACGCGCAGACGCAGATGGACCGCACATGATGCTACAGAGAAGCGCTTTGAAAGTGCTCGCTGAAAAAGCTGCAAACCGACTTTGGTGCCAAACAACCAGACCGTCAACAACAACAAAAAATGATAATAATAAATAAATAAATAACAAAAAAAAAAAGGGAAAGGAGAACTTAGGTTTTCCGGTACGCAAGATGGAGCACACATGATGCTGCTACAAAAAAAACGCTTCGAGAGCGCGCGCGCGCTGGCTCGTGCGCGCTCGATCACGTGCTATGTTCTCCGCGCTACTCCACGCCAGATTGGTTGCGCTGGCTCGTGTCATTCGCTACGGTCCATCTGAACGGCGTAGAGGAGCAGGCGCATATTTGCGCACGTGCGGCTTTGCAGCAAAGGGAAGAACACCTCGCTTTTAACTGGACCTGCAAAGTCGACATGCACTGTACGTTGGTGGTTTTTTTGCCGTGGTGCCGAGCAATGTGAGCCCGCGCGCATTCGCTCGGGACGAATTATCCGATGCGGAGTCTTTCCAAGTTCGAACTATCAAACTTTTTCCTCCCATAGAAATGTATGGGCCCTTGCCGAGACCTTTGAACACGATCGAATTAAACCAAAAGTCGAATTAACCGAGGTCGAACTAACGACAGTTTACTGTACGCGAAAAAACGGCGGCTTCGTGCCCGAAGGGTGGTCACATCAATATGTCATCAAGCACGTGCCTCAGAAATAAAACGCAAAGAAAAGCACAGCAACGCAGATGCCTTGTCACAGAAGCAGGCGGGAGCGCTCAAGGTCAAAGCGGACATGCTCCAGACATAAAACGGAAAGAAAAGAGCAATCTAATGTGAAATGCAGAGAAAAAAAAAATTCGGCAGAGATGCTAGACTGCTTACGTGTAGGAATGCAAGACATTCCTACACGTAAGCAGTCTTAAACATCTCTGCTGAATTTTTTTTTTTTCCCTCTGCATTTCACATTAGATTGCTGCCGTTCAAGCCCACCCTTGGCCAACAGCCCCGTTTTTCACTTTTGAAATGTGAACAGTCAATTCCGAGCGCCGTCTGGCCCATAAAGAATATGTTCGGTGCTACCGTTGCAACAACTGGTTTCTACGGAAACTAAAGTGGTGAAGCGGGCGAGTTGCCCTACGTAAAGCAAGCCTTCTAGTTGGTTTTCGTTCAAGAAAAGGTGCAGCAGAACATGCCGACTCATTCTGTGTAAACAGAACTTAAGTAGCCAACAAATAATTGCTTAGCGTCATCCTTTTTCCTTGGATATTTGGTCAAATGAAATGCAGCTATTGACTATACTCTGGAGGATGGCTCACACATTTGCGCATTGAGCGTGACCGATTGTGTTGCTAACGTTTGTGACTGCTTACAAGAAAACGCGCTGCTGCCATAAATCGAGAGGCCGTGGAACACTTCCCATCTGCATATATTTGACGCTTCATCCTTTCACAGTGGGCTCGAAACAATTCTGATAATGTTATCAGTGAGAATTTTTCACACATAGTATGTGTAGATTTGATTTCACAAATACCGCAAAAGCTTCAGTCTAGCTAGGGGGGTATTTGCGTGACATAAATGTGCCATTTTGTTTTTCAATGTTGGCTATATAAGACTGACTTCCTGTGCACTACGAGTTCGGGGGTGTTGTGTGAATCCTCAGATTGCTCGCCTTCAGCACGCGCCAGACGGCATAAAACAGTAACAAATAGCAGACAAATTTGTGTTGGTGATCGCAAGGCCGCACAACGCACTTGGTTGCAACTGCGTCGTAAGAGGGCAAACGCTGCGATGCGATCGACCAGATAAAGTCCTCTTGGCGCGCGCCCGAGTAGCCTCGACCGAAAGAGTCTCCACCGTCCCGACGGCACAACTTGGAAAAAAAACAAAAAACAGGTGTCTAGTCCTCATGGCACCCAGGCGAGCGCTTTTCCTGCTCAAAGTGTCTGCTCCAAAACTGGCTTAAACACTGCACCAGAAATCTCTTCACTTCAACAAGCTCAAAACCGTTATCGCCGCCGTTGAGGCACGAAGCTAGGGTCGACGATGAAGCGGTGCTTGAGCAATGCGCGTAGTGCAAGTGCCAAGTTCTACATGATGAGGCACACCCAGAAAACGACTTTAAAACCAAGAAAATCTCCCATAGAGAAGCACGGGAAACCGGGCCTGCAACAGGCTGCCATCGGCCGCTAGTCGAAGAGCCATCTGGCGGCACTGCTTGCAACCGAGGCAAGGAGAGGACTTTATCTGGCAGCTCTTTATCTGGCAACTGCGATGTGCACACTCTTCACACCTATACTCCGTCTCATCCTACGATGGACTAAAGCCCAGTGCTACAGGCACCGGGTCCAATCACAAGCCTGTTAGAAACCATGTGGTATATTGTGCCGTCGTACGTATCAGTGCGCCAAGATGCGTCATGCGGAAGAGAGTTTTTTGTCTGCTTATCGGGCCCTCGTGGCGGCTCCGTCTGCTAGCAACTACTGAAGAAATTAAATACCGTCTGGAAGTGATGGGGCGAAGAGAACCCGGGATCCGCACCAGTGGCCATCAAGAAATGAAGATGAGTCGGATAGAGTGATCGACATGGGAGCTTATGTACGGACTGCATGCGGAAGGGAGATGCGGGTCCGGGTACGTGACCGAGCGCAAGCGTGTGAACCAGCCTTAAAGTTTAATCCAAGCTAAGCTGTCGACCTCCTTACCCGCACCGTGGTGTCTCTGTTGCGGACATAAGCGACGCCCGTCTTCTGCGTGCTCTCATCGAGGATCACCGTGAACATGATGCCCATCTCGTCAAACCTGGTCAGAAGCAGACAACAAGTTTTCAGTTCCAGCTAAAACTAAAGTCTGGCTCACGGATGTCCATTTGAGTGGGACCGAAAGCATTGTGAGCGCTTGGTTCCTCAAATGGTAAACGAAAGCCTAGATGAACTTGTGATAATTGTTCCCTCGCATCCACTTGTCCAGTTCTAAGCTAAGTTAATTTTAGTCCAGTTATACTCGTTGACTGTAGCCTCAGAAAGTCCGGTACCTACATTGGGATAGAAAGCATACACGATACATTTGACATGCATACTTACTACAAAGACGCCCAGCCATGCCTACTAATCAAAAAGATTTATGAATGTTCTTGCTATATGAAAATATCCTTTCTTAAATCTGGAACTTGAGAAAGGAAAATAAGACTATCATGAATGATGAATGCAGGTTGCCGGGACATCTCTGCCGAACATATATGCTCTCGCATAATAGCCAGCTTAATTTTGAACATGTTGCTGTGGTGTAGATATAAACATCCACAAAGTGCCCGTCTTACATGCGCCAGGGCACGCGCGTGCATAGCCCCGCCTTGAAGTCTTTCCTCCCGAGCAACCGACTGCAATATTTGTACTTTTCAAAGTGATGATCGCAGTGGTCTAGCCCCATTGAGCGCGCTTCTGCAGAAAGACAACACTCGCAGAAGCGAGCTCTGCGAGTGTTTCTTCGCAGCAGTGCACCGGCGCATGGTAAGAAGTACGCTCAACAGGGCTAACCCACTGCGATCAACACTTAAAAAAATATGAAAATCACAGCTCATCTCGAAGCGAACATCGAAATTGGTACCATTCAAAAATTTGTATTTGTATATTTGTAGTTGGCACCCGCAGGCGCCGCAAAAAAGTGGCCACTTTTTGTCACGTGGTGCTTGCGCTCTTTCGGAAGCTTCCTATGGCCTCTAAAAGTAACTTATTCATCTTTGTTTCAAGTGCAACGAAAAACAAAGATTAACCTTTTCCCTACCATGGACGGCCTGAGTTTGTCCACGCTGTTTGTACCGCTCCCCCCGAAGACGAGCTGGGCTCGTCCACATTGATTCGGGCTCCAATCACTACCGTGGACCGTTGCATGGACGAACTGGGCTAGTCCATGTGTTTCTAGTGAGCTTTGCCGTGGATAGATGGCGCTTCACAGAAAATAAAAACCTGGTAAATTTCTTAATTTGGCAGAAAATTGTTCCAATGCAGGCAACAGGGGATTTAAAAATGGCGACGTCAACTTTTGGTCGCTGCGTTCGTAGCGACAATCTTGCCTCAAAATTGGGGTGAAAACGAAGATATAGTGACATCTCTTCAGATTCAGAAGACAAGGAAATAAATCTTTCATCGAACAGCGAGAGCAATGCAACTGAGTTATTGGATTTGAGCTCAGACGACTCCGATTTCGAGGAGGACATTGTGTCGGCGTGTCGGCTTGGACCAGAATCAATGTAAAAAAATCCCCCGCCAGCCCCTCTACGTTTTGCGTTCGCTTTGCGTGCAATGTGATGTGAACCGTCTGCAATACTGCTACACCCGGCCTGACCGTTCATGTGCAAGGCGATGTGAACTGTTTACGGTAATGCAGTGAAGCGGAACTCTAGTCCCTTTTTCTTTTGCAGTGTGTTCAAAGATTTCTCATATAATAAATATTTTGGCATTTGTTTTTGGCCTTTGTATTGCATGTTAATATAGGGCACGCACATAAAAAAGTTCGGTATTTTCAAATCGTTTCTTTCAAAATTTTTGCGGTAGGCAAAGGGTTAAAAGTAACCTTTAGAGCCCAGAGGAAGCGCCTGAAAAAGCGCAAACAGACGTGATAGACCTGTGCGCCGGTCAGATGACGGCGCCGGTGCCGCAGAGCAGACAAACTTACATGGCGGCGGCATGGAGAAATGCGCTGAAACGGCGGCGCACTACGCTCAATGTGTGGCAGTGGCGCCGCGCGACAGCGCACAGGTGTACCACGTGACCCGCGGCGGCTCCCGCGGGCGCCAACTACAAATTCGTTTTGCGCTGTAAATATAGCTCTAAAAATTTATTTTTTTCGTTGTAAATTCGTTTTATAAAATTCTTTTCCCATCTAGGTTGTTTTTCTTTTCTTTGCATGTGTCCTAAAATATCTTATGAAGAGCGCCGTGATTGTAGGTGTCTGGCAACTCGGAGTATCTTTTGTGTTGCTAAGTATGTTTCATGTACGCAACAGAATTGCTCGACATTTTGCCATAATTTTCTTTTGTATTTTTTTTTTTTACATACTGAAGTTTTAGTTATAAACCAGAACCTCTCTGCCAATTCTTACGTTTCAGTGTCGTATGATTTCCACCATGTTTAATGTTAACACGGGTTCTCGCAAACATTTCGACCTCGAGCAACACTCGTCCATTTTGATTTACAGCAAAGGAACCTTCACTGGTGTCGGCAGTGGCACAACAAAGCAGCGTGAAAGCCTACCAGTGGCATGGCCAGGACTAATTTTTCGGGGGAGGTTTCCCTAAAGTATTCTCGGGGGGTACTTTAGGGGCCACCCGGTTCGAGAACCCACGTCCCGACGACCCGCACGGAGAAAGCTCATCGTTCTATGCGGAGTAGGAGGCACCCGCCGGGGCCGTGAGACCTTCACACCTGGAGATCTGTTCCTCCAGCGATGCCTCGGTTCCCAGCAGGGGATTGCAGTAGACGGCTACCCTCGCTCTCTTCAGCTGGATCTGCAGCAGGCTCGAAAGCGGACGCAGTGCTGGGATGGTCGTGGCGACAGTGGTCTTGTACGGGGCCAGCTTGTGGTGCAGCCTCAGAACCTGGGCCCGACAATGCCGCAGAATTCTTCAGAATTTTGTAGTATCTGGCCATATGTTAAAACATGATTCTTAAGAAATGGGTTTTCACTATTGTTTTGAAAAAAAAAAAGGTGAGTCAATTATAATTATCCTGAGAATTAATCGTTCTTGTTAAATAAAATGCAAGACCTGAACAAGCTTGCACTGTTTCACTAAGTTCGGTAAAAAAAATAAGAAAGAAAACTCCAAGACCACTGTTCCCCCTTAAGGTCAGATCAACCTTACGCTGCGTGAACACTCAAACATACCATCTCGTTGGAGTCATCGCCGCGAAGCGAGAGGCCGTCCGAGATGTATGTTGCGGCGGCGACTTCGAGACTGCTGTCACAGACGATGGCGTGTGGAGTGGCTGCAATCCCGTCTTCCGTCAGCGAAGACGTTCGCAGACGCTCCACCGCTTCAGATCCTCCCCACGGCAGCTTTCGGATCACTGAGACCTCAGCGCCGGACTTCGAAGCCACGTCGCCGCCCGCGCTCACCGGATCCGTGATCTCCGTCAGCGAGAAATCGGAAGGACACTTGGAGAACTGCAAGGCGACGCAAACAAATTTTTCGTATGAAGTCCCGGAGCGTCGTCTTCGGCTCGGTACGCTCTCGGACGCCGTTAGCCGAAAACACGCAAAAGACGGACGAGCAACCATGCTACTGTTTTAAGATCCGCCCAATGCGTCGATAGCTGAAACTTTTGGTCTCGAGCTACTCTCCCTAGCTGCTTGCTCTCTTTTTAACCCTTTGCGGTGCCGCTATGCAGAGCACAAGTACGTCTGCTTCTTGCACAGGCCTTGCGATAATGTCAGAACGCCGATCTCTTGAAAAAAAAATAGTGGGTAAACCTCAAGGCATCTAGCATTGAGGTCTACCCACTATCTTTTCAATCGAAGCCAATCAGAGCTCCGCGTCCTTCTGACCTCACCGCAACTCCCGCGCAAGAAGCAGACGACTTGCTCTCCGCATAGCTCGTCCATGTTTAGAGTAGCAGGACAAGTCATTTCCAGAAAGCTTTCTGCTCACTACGATTGGTGGTTTCCTCCTTTCCACTCGCTTCCTCCTCAGTGTTTGCTCTGTTAAAGTGGAAGAAGAGCGGAAAGTTTTGAGAGATGAGTGCAACAGATCATAGTGGTGGTATCGCTCAAGGGCATGCATATGTACCGTTTGCTGAAAAGAAAACTCAGTTAAAAGCATGTATAAAAAAAAAGAAAGAATGATAAATTGATCTCAAATGTTTTGCTATACTTCTACCTGGTGTACCAGTCAGAGCATCTTTCCCACGCTTTCGTTTATCGATTTTCGACAAAGTGCACAGAGCCTCCACCCCACACTTGCCTTTTTCCACCACTTCAGGCGCTCCCGCTGCCAGTAGGCAAACCAGTAGGACAGTTTGGCCGGCGGAGTGAAGAAGGCAAACTGCTGCAGGGTCCACAGTTCGGGGTACCTTCAGGATCATGCATGAATTCACATAATGTTTATTCAAACTCGCATACATTCCCATAAACGGATACCCACACTCACGCCATGGAACTGTGGACTCCTGAATCGGTGCTTGCGGAAGCCGAAGGTGCTTCAGACTTGCAAACTTTGCTGCAAACGACGCCGAAAGGCACCGAGGTGTCGGCGAGATCCTTGACAGCAGAATACATCTCCGAGAGACCTAGCAATCGGTCCGAACAGGATTAGATCTTGCTCTTTCCAGGCAAGCCCATTTAGACATAGTTGCAACCAAACTATTTGAATCGGGCGGCAGCTGCGCTACCTCGCCAGAGCTCGTTTATGGACGGCACAAAGCGCTTCTCGTGGCAAAGGCGCAAACTACACCGATACACAAATGAAATGTGACAAAACTGACTCGTTTCGTTGTAATTTTCAGGTCGATTTCTCAGTAAAGGTTCAGAAAGCGGGCATAATTAAATTTGCCAAACATGCCACAAGTTAAAACGAGTATAGAAACTGTTGTATATAGAGGGCACCGCGTATCGTGCCGACAACTGCACATAAGCATGTCATCGTCGGAGTAAAAGTTGTTCAGCGTCCACCCCTGCACATTGTCGTTACTTGCTGGGATGGCCGGGCTTTGTCACCGCAGAATCCCACCACAGATTCATCTGGTGCCTTGTATACAGCACAGTTCCCGATTGTGTTTGCCACATTGTTTCTTAGTGTACTTAACCAGTCACCGGCTTCTTCGTGCTCTTCCTTTGGCAACCAGTGTAAGCTTTGTGACATTCCATTTCTTTCTGTTTTCTAGGCGGAATGAATTTCCTCCCCTGCTCTTTTCACCTCCATCGGCAAAGAAAACATCTGCAGCTGAAAAAAAATCCCCTCCTCCCCATCCCCTTCTTCCCAATCTTCTTATCTTCACAAAATCTCCGGGCTCGATGGTAGAATTCCTCGTACCTCATCTTTTATAGCTGTACCTTTTTATATGTCGCTGCTGCTCCAAGACCCAGCACAGCAGCTTTGCGACGTGAGCCCGTGGCTTCTCGAAAAGTCCCTCTTGAGAGTTCGACCACGTTCAGCCTTGTCCGTGGCCTCCTTTTGTGTAGCATATAAGCCGGAGACATGCCTGTTGTTGCATCAGAGGGTGGTTTTCTAGATGTTGAGGTACACCAAGATGACTTCCTCGAGGGGTCTCTGCTCCCAGTGCTGCAACCCTATATATACTTCTTGAGAACACAATTAAACAGTTCGATCTGACCATGTCGGCTTGCAGTTGGTATGAAGTAGCCAAGCAGTACTCAATCCCTCTGTCCCATAGAAGCTCTTCAAAATATGATGGCACAAACTGACGCCCCTGCCACTCACAATGCTCTTTGAGTAGCCTTCCCGTGCAAAAAGTTCCAGCAACCCTTTCACCACAGGCTGTGACTGTAGTGGTCGTGGATGGCCACGGTGACTGGGGCGAAAAGAGACATGAAAGCTACGACAAAGACTGCGCCTCGGAAGGCCTGTAAAAATACTGAAAGGCTTACATAGCGTGGCGCGTGGGACGTGAGATGGTCGGTGTTCTGGGACCAAGTGAGCACACCGGTAAAGGAAGACACGTCAGGCCAGCTCTTAGTTTCGATCAAGACTGGTTCTATTTACTGTATGTACATGCACCCAGAGGCAGCGCGTGCCGCTGTCAGGCATATGGCGCCATCTCATTGTAACAACACACACTATCAACTTTTGGCGCCATCTAGATTACTGATGGCATACTACAGTGACGTCCCCAACAAAACACACACACACACACACACACACACACACACACACACACACACACGCACGCACGCACGCACGCACGCATTCAGGAGATACCTGCTCCATTGGTCCTACAATGTCCATATCCAATTTTTCCCATGCTTTTTTCGAGCTGTAACAGCCTTTGCAATCCTGTCAGCTGCGCAAATATGTGGTAGCACCGGGCGAAGACGAGATTTGGTAGCGCCTGGCCGGCCCAGCGATCGTGATGACATGCGCGGGAGGTGGACGCTGAAGAACTTATACAAATGTTGGCATATGGTGGCACGATACACAGCACTCTCTATAACAACAAACATGAAAAAGGGAAAAAAGAAAGCTTTTACCTCGTGATGAAGGATCGAAGGAACCACTGGTAAAACTTGCAGTTTGAAACTCGCTCTTGTCCTCGAAAGGAAATACGCTGGTGTCCGGCGACTGAAGGAACCAATTTCGCCTGGAAGTGAAGACGAAAGTGAAGGTAACTTAACGCCCGTTAACATCTCTAAACACCTCACCATTCGCGCTGAAGGTTGTCCCGTAGCAGAAATCCGCAAGGTCCGTATTTTCGGCTCGCGTTTGAAGACGCGGAGTGACGGCACGTGTAACCATATCTTTGCAGAAGTTGCGAAAATCTTTCGGCCGACTTGCTCATCTCGAAAATTGTTGGTAAAACTGTATGCTATGTTCCTCACTCAATATTTTAAATAACTCGCCATGCATCAGTGAAGCTTCTCAAAAGCGCGTGTGCATTTAAAGGCGGTAAACATAAACAAACAAGGCCAACCATGGTTTCGTATACTTTTATTCTTAAATTTTAATGTGTATACAAAGAAATATCTTATATATTTATTTTATTACAATATATAAAGTTATTTTAAATTTATTTCACATTAAAAATTTATATAAAAAGGCAAAAATAAACTACGAAACTGTTAGAGCCGGTACTTATCGTAGATAGCTGAATCAGCTCTAGCTCCCGAGCAAACGGGAGCAAAAAGAAAAGATGCTATGGGGTTTCGGAAGTTCAATTTGAGGGGTAAATAAATAGCGAAAGAACTCAAATCATGTTGGATTTTGGTGGAAAATCTTTGCTGGGATTAGGTGGCCTAATATTGCTCATCCTCGGACTTGTGGACATGATGACGAACTTCGAGGAAAACAGATGCGAAATGACATACATGTACGAACGACCGCAGTACATTGTGAGTGTTTCTTGTCAAATTTCTCAACGCGATTTTTGTAGCTTATTATTAAACGGTTAGATTTACAAAGATACCGCATGGTGTAACGTTGCAAACTTGGCTACTCTTACATTATTACTGAAACTCTGATTTTCGTTAGCGATCGTTAGCTGCAACTCCTTAAATCAAAATCTAAGGTAGGCAAAAGCTTGCCCAGTAACTAAAGAGCATCCCGAGTTTGTTTTCTTATTGTTTCGTTTGTCAAGCAAAAGCTTTGTTCTTTTTTTTTTTTAACTTCCGAAGTTTTTGGTTGATACATTTTCCACATTTTCCGCCGATGCAAGCACCAACATATATCGACGCGATCGCACTGCTCGCATTGTTTACATATCTTATTCCGGATGATTCACTTCGAGCATTACTGCTGCAGCGTTTCGATCAAGGAGGTTTCGATAGCGCAGTAATTTTTGTCGTCTGCATCCGTCCTTCACGTGCACACAAGCCGCCGATTCATTTTGGTCGCTTTCAATCCGGCCCCCAAGTAGTTTTGCCTCCTCTCCCTGCTCTCTCAAGTAATTGGGAAAGGATGAAACGAAGACGATTATCTGCCTTGCTGAAATCGCAAAATCATACGTCTGCTTTTGTTTGAAAGTGCTGCCGGATTGTTAAAACTGTTGTCTTAGTCTGTGTAGAAAAAAAAAAAAAGTAATAGTAAAGTTGAGAACTTTCTACGAAAGTTATTAGCGATTTTCGTAAATTTTCCACGAGAAAATGGGGCCCATTTCTGGTAGCAGACGAGCTCTGTTGGCCACCATTTCCCCATTAAAAGATTTCCGAAAAACAGTTATTACTTCGTAATCGGATAACAATTAGTTCTAAATCTCTGGCCCCTGGTCCGGACTGCTAGTACTACATTTGGGCGGAGAACAAGCGTTCAGCAACATATAGTTTATTTCTGCAGTGGGAAAAGCATGGTTTGCTTTTCTCCCAAACACACGGTACATATCTGCCTCCTACTTCTCACGTTTGGGGAAAATTCCGACTCTCACGACCATGAAGCTCCTTTGCGCTGTCGACTAAATCGACGACACAGTATAGTTAACCCTCTGTGCAAATGAAAAAACAAAACAACAAAAAAAAAACAAGTTTTTATTTAGACTTTTGGTTTTGGCTGATGGACCCAAAAAGGTGGGCTAATGCCGCCTGACAAGGCTTCTGCACCCAAACACATCACTCGTCGCAGAAACTCCATGACACTTTGCCGGTATGCTGTCCGTCGAAAAACATAAATCCACATGAGGAAAAAAATTGCCTCACACTTGCACAGATTGTGCGACTCCACTCGCATATATATCTCGCTTCTTGTACCCGTTAATATATAATTGTATAGCTTTAACACTAATAGCTTCAAACATATTTTTGGGTTCACTCTACACAGAACAAGACAACATTCGACAACTCTCTCTTGCCACACGCCATCAAACTCTGGAACAACCTTCCCATTGCCATGGTTCTTACTTCACATCCAGAAAACTTCCGCCCAGAATCGGCAACCATTTTCATTACTTAATGAACAGCAATTATAGACAAAATGTTTTAGGTCATGATATAAAATATCTGAGAGCTCAACTTGTTTCATGTTTGTGAGCTTGTGTTATATTTACTTGTGTTAAAAGCCTGGATTCTATAAATATGATTACATTACATGATTACATTACATGATTGGGGGGAATCATGTAATGCCGAAAGGCCTTTGAGGTATTTTGAACAAATAAATAAACACTCGGATCTTTGGCGAACCTTTTTGTGCTCGTGTTCACGGCCGAAGACGAGTAAAGTGATCCAGGCAAACCCTTGAAACCCATTTCAGCCTATCAGACTGAGCAGTGCCGTGCAAACCAGGTTTCCCAAATACCGGCTGACTGTCTACGGTGAAGGGTGAGTGCAGTGTTTGTGTTCTGACCTTTGAACGTTTCTTCCTTGCACTCTCATACTTAAATTTTATCCTGTCTTTTTTCTTGGGGTCGTCGTTTTCGTCCAGGTACTACGCAGACATGCTGCGGTAAGTCAAATCATAACAGTCACTTTGGATTACACAATAAAAAAAGAATTGTGATTTAAAAGAAAAAATTAACTATGAGATATATTTTATTTAAATCAGATTAATTTGATTAAAATCAATGTAGCTAGAAAATAGTGATTCTTTAGCATAAGTTGTATTTTTAAACACGACCGATTGATTGATCAGTGCATCCAATCACTGGTAATAATGCAAAATAAAGAATTGCTGCATACTTAAAGTATGGTTTAGTTAAGAACTTTTTATTGGTGTAATCACCGTCACCTAGAACAAAAACAGCTTGATGTTTTTAGTTATAGTAAGTTACAGGTCAAGAAGGTAGCTGCAAATGCCCCTCGAAGGGATACACATATCCCTCCGCCACCTCCGCATCCAAAAGCGTCCCATCATTTCCGTGATGTCGTGACCAATGAGGGAGAGGGTTTTGCCTTCCTGTAAATATTTGCTTTATCTTTCGACTTTGACTTAGCATTGTGGAAGCCACGAGAGGGAGATTAGAGTTTTTCCCCTCCGATGGAAACAAATACGACTTTGGGGGGTTAGGTTTCCCCTCCGATGGATACAAAGGCCACTTTCAGGGGCTCGGTTCCCTCTCCGATGAATACAAAGGTCGCTTTTTTAAAAAGTGGGGGTCGGAGACAAGTTGGCATCACTCTGTAGCTTATATCTATTCATTGAAGCGGAACAAGGGGCGTTTTCAGTTAACTATTTTTTCGACTGCGGATGAATCTGAAACGGGTGCATCACACTTGTGGGAGCAGCTTCTCCTACCTTCTTGACTTGTAACCGACTATAGTGAGACAGCTTTATTTACTTTTTCCTTAGCATTCTGAGTTGAGTCCAATAGGACATTTCTTTTCTAATTTTTCTTTCTTTTGCTTCTGATTTTGTGGTAATAGGACGTTGCGTAACTGACAAACGAAGTTGAAGGTAGAAATCAAACTCGGTGCTTCGATTTGCTCAGAAAAGCACTTCTTTTTGCTCGTATTCAGCCTTATACGAATCTTGCTCGATGATTTTTTTTAAAGGACAACTCCGTCCATTTCTGAATATTTCGGTATAATGAGTGATTTCACAGCACTAATAAAAGGCACTACGTCATTTTCTTTGCGAAAAATTGGGTATATATTGTTAAATTTTGCATTAAACATGAGCAGAAATCGAAACCAAAACTTCGACTCTGCCGGTTTTAAGCAGTCGCGGTACAGTTGATCGCATCAAATGCGGATGCACATACGAATCAGCCTCGAAACGTTATCAGGAAATGTGTATTTTCCTTTTTAGACTTCATGAGGCATACAGTTTGAGATCAGAACCACGCAAATAAGATGTGAAAAACCTTTCTTTTAGTGAAAAACCTCTTAAAATCTTTTACGACGTGAGGATACGCTGGCGTCGTCTATTGTGCAGCTGTGAACACCTGCGATCGTCGTACATTATTTTTACGCGCCATTCTTTCTTGGCTCGAAAATCTTTCGACAATGTCAGACAGTTCTTCCTCATAGATAGTATGTACACTTGATATCGCAAGACCTTCACTCTAGTGAAATGCACTTCTAGGTTCACACCATAGGTGGCGCTAGTGTCTTCTCCCGTCACGAAAACTCGCGAAAGTTCGGTCCCGAACAAGCGCAAGTGCGTGAACAAACCTCGAGTTTTTAGAGCACGCGCATCGTCCCGACCTTTATGTCGACGTCCCTCTCGTCCGCCCTCCGATCCCGGGCGGGTCCTTCATCCTCGGCGCAGCAAGGGGAAGCTCCGGGGAATGCCGGTGCTCTTTGTGCCAGGCAATGCAGGCAGCTACCAGCAGGTCCGCTCCATTGGATCGGTTCTGTTCCGCAAGGCGGACTTCCAGCGGCTGCCACACCACTTCGACGTCTTTGCCGTCGACTTCAGGGACGAGCTGTCGGGGCTCTACGGCGGGCACCTCGCTGAACAGACGGGTCCGCACCCTCCCTTCGCTTGACCGTGTGCAAAGTTTGCGAAGCCTTTTCTTTTTTTTAGTAGAGTTGATGTTTTGCGAGGTTCTCCTAAGGGAAGGTTTTCTCCACCCGTAAAACTATGCCTTGTTGATTTTGTTTTATTCATTTTATTTATTTTATCCCAAAGGCATGTAGCAATGCATTACATGAGGGTGAAAGCAAGGCGGTTGGAAAAGTTGTGATCTATGTACATGCATATATCTAAACAGAATTATAACCACTGTAAGACACCGAGGGAACACCCACCCCACTATTGTTGAAAACTGTGTTTATCTAGATACAAGCGGGCGTCCGGTCAAGTCGGGCACTTAACATATAATTTGCAGAGTTTTCAAGTTTGGGAAATGTTAGTAGCAGGCGCTTGAACAAGTGGGCGCTTCCGCATTATTTTACGGTATGCTCACTTCCATATCAAAAACCATCGTTAAAAAAAAAAAAAAAAAAAAGTCCCAATTCCTTGGGGAGTTTTACTCATTTCTTCCTTTATGTGGAGAATTGAGATATGTGTAAGTGTGTTTTAGACTAGAAATATGTTACCTTATCAAGACGTGCACGCTTCAGATGTCAAAAGCATCACTTCTTCCTCCAACAGCCAAGTCTTGTATGAACAACCTTGTGCGGCGTAAGAAAAACGTGCAAAACTTTTTTCTTGAGGTGTAAACGAGTATAGTGATAAATGTCGAGCTTTACATGCACATATACACAAGAATGGTAATAACGGGACTGTTAATACTTGAGGTATAGCAACAATAAATTAGACAAAATGCAAAACTCTCAGGATAAATAGATACTACTCTTTTAGTACCAGAAAGCACAAAGAAACAACATTCAAAATACAAGAAATGTTGTTGCAAAAAAGAAAAAAAAGTAAACAATTGATTATACTGCAAAAATGCAGAGGTGCAAGCTAGCTGGACAAGAATGACAATAATAATCCCTGGAGAAGGGGAACAAAGGGGACAAAGGACAAACACAAATCTCCTAACACAGCTAGGTGACTGTGGACCAGGACCAGGCGAAAAAATCCACCTGGTCCTGGTATCGAACCCAGGACCTTTCCATTTCTGATGAAGCACTCTACCATCTGAGGTAACCAGGAGTTAGACGTCAGTAGAGCAAAGAGATTTTATCAGCTGCCACCAGTCCAACACCAAGGATGAACAGCCTGCGTTTTAAGGTTATGATTATAATGCAATAGTGCAAAGGTGCAAGCGAGGTGGACAAGAATGACAATAATAATCCCTGGAGAAGGGGAACAAACGGGACAAAGGACAAACACAAATCCCTAGGTGACTGGTGCACGACCGAAAAAAATCCAACTCCTGGTTAGCTCAGTTGGCAGAGCACTGCACAGCAAAGGGAGAGGTCCCTGGTTCGATACCAAGACCAGGCGGATTTTTCGTGGTCGCGCACCAGTCACCTAGCTGTGTTTGGAGATTTGTGTTTGTCCTGTGTCCCCTTTGTCCCACTTCTCCAGGGATTAATATTGTCAAGTTCACAATAAAAGCTCCTCACAACTTTGTTCCAATGATAGTGGATCTGCAAGAGTGACAGCATTTTCAGGGAGATCATTGCAGAACTGGAAGAGGCATCTTTTCAGGGGGACCATGAAACCAAAGTATGATCCACGCAGTAGCTTTCAACTACAACACATTGCTAACAGGCTGACGCGCGACCCCGATTTTCTGCAGGGAAGGGGATTCTCTTAGTATGATGCCCGATACGCGTCTCCCGAAACTGGCGTCTTTGGCGTCCTCTATCGCCCGTGCGTCAAAATGGTCCCAAGGTGGCAACAGTCGAGCTCGCAGGAACCAACAAAAAAAGAGATCCCGCAAAAGAAAGTTTTTAGCACAACATTTATAGGCCATGAGATTCATTTTTTCAGAATTGCAACGTATGTTTCTATTTCGGGTCGAACTAGCGAAATTTCAGAATCGCTCCCAACTCAAAGTATGTCTCGTGATGTATATTGTGCAAAAAAAACTCTTTTACGATGTGGAAAGCTCATTTTGTGTTATGTCATAAAAATTGAGCATTTAACAAAAGGCTTTTTTGGGAGTTCAGCATCCTTTTAACACCCCTCTCCTTGCAGATTTTCTTCACGAATGCGTCAAAAAGATAAGGCACCTCTATCGTTCAACAAATGCCAGCCTCGTGATTCTGGGTCATTCAATGGTTGGTTTATCTCCTTTTGTTTTTGTTATTTCTTTAGTCCTTTTGGGACCCTGTTGACCATTTCTCTTATTAATTGATTGCTGAATCGATTGTAGGACATGCTCAATGATAGACATGTTTGTTGGTTTCTTGTTTTGCCGTCTTGCGCTCGGTTGATGTTCAGCAATTATGTATTGATTGGCTGATTGATTGGCTTATTTAGGGAGGCGTGGTTGCCAGGGCATTGTTCACGCTGCCCCAGTTTGACGTGGCAAGCGTTTCTCTCATCTTCACCTACGCCACACCTCACAGGACTGCAGGTGAGGTGCTGTCTTTATCGCTCACATTTTCCTACTCACCCTATCACCGTGTCACCCAGTCACTGAACATTTCCAGGTGTATTGTAGAAAAAATTGTAGGGGTGCAGGCGAGCTGGTGAATATTAACCATGTTGAAATTAACCTGAGGCTGGGGTAGAGAAGAAACATCAAAACGTAGAAGGGACAGAAAATAGACAGGACGACGTCTCAAACTCAGCTAACTCGTTTATTTAGTCCACCTCCTTATACAATCTCACTCTCAAGGTCATCTCCACCAACACAATAGGACGAAATCTATACAGTTCAAGCGCCACAGTCCTTTTGTGTTGGCGGAGATGACCTTGGGAGTGAGGCTATATAAGGAGGTGGACTAAATAAACGAGTTAGCTGAGTTTGAGACGTCGTCCTGTCTATTTTCTGTCCCTTCTATGTTTTGATGTTTCTTCTCTACCCCAGTCTCAGGTTAATTTCAACAAGGTGTATTGTGTTTTTTAATGGGATCCCAATCGCTTTTTTGCCCAATCAATGTTTCCACATGTACATTTTTTATTATGGACCCAATCATTTTTTCACCCAAACACAACATTTTCAGGTATACTACCACATTTTCTAATGGTGGACCCAATCACTGAACATTTCCACGTGTACTACAGTGCAGACCGCATATAACGTATGTCGCGGGAGTCGCGAAAATCCGCACTATAAGCGGTACCACGCTATAACCAAAACATCAATTTTTCAGGCCAAAATACATGTCTTTATTTCACCAGACTAGTACACTTCTCTCTCAAGTGTGTCACACATTTTGAAAGAAATTAGTGACTTTTGCCTGGCGCAGCCTTTTAACGGCGTCGCGGGTTGCGGACGGACGTTGCAAGCGTTTAGGATTGCTAACCCTAATCACTTTACTCCGGTGATGAAAACGCGTGAAAATTCGCATCCCTTATACTGTACGCGCCAGTAATACCTTCAACTTGAGCACAAGCATGAAATGCTCTCAATAAGAAATCCGGGCGATGTTCGAAAACACAAATGCTTAGAAAGCACCACTGTAGTCGAAGTAAACAACACGACGACACGGGCGTTTCTGCTGTCTTGAGAGCGCCGCCACGACATCGCCGCACGAGTAGGTGGATCTTCCCTTCTAGTACGTGCTGGGTTATCATAGCGACACACAACAAAAATTCACAGTCAAGGATAGCGCTTTTACTTGGAACGATGAGCTTTCACCACATACGTCGACGATCTCCACCGACGCCATGTTTGCGGATAGAAGCTGGCCCGCGACCAGCATGCAACGCGCTCGAACACTTCTCCTCGACCTGCGATTGGTCTGTCGTTGTGGTTGTTTCCAACCATAGAGATCATTTTCCAACGCAGCGGCCTGACGCACGCACATGAACGACACGTGCGTGCGTCCCTCCGTTGCTATGGCAACTGAAGCCTCTCTCTTCGCTTCTCCCCGCTTCTTCGAGCAACCTCCTTGCCTTGCGAGTGCCGCTTGCGGCTCGCGCCATTATCTAGTGTCGCACAGGGAAGCGTGCTCACTGCGGCGCAGTCGTCGGGCTGTTTCATAAACCGCACTATAACCGGTATTTCCTTTACGCGCCTGCATTTTAAGCGGTATGTAATTACATGGAGTTCTATAAGAGGCGAACCGGTGGTTTAAAAGAGCCGCGTTATACCCGGTCCTGCACTGTAAGCGGTTACGTTGTAAGTGGTCTATACTGTACTACATTTTGTAACGGTGGACCCACTCGCTTCTTTCACCCAATCACTGAACATTTTCAGGTGGACCACTATATTTTTTTACTACGAGGACCCAATTACTCCTCTTGCCCGATTACCAAACGTTTTCAGGCGTAGTACTACATTTTCTAATAGTAAAACTATCGCCTGCGCATTCTTTCTTTTCTATGTAGCCATGTTGGACAGTCACCTCCAGAGCTTCTACGGGCGGCTCCACGAGACTTGGTCGCGTGATCGTGGCAAATTCACGGACCTCACCGTCGTCTCGATCGGCGGAGGAGACCGGGACGTTCTGGTGCGCACCGAGCTCACCACGCTCCCCGCTCACGAAGGAGACGTGAGCGCTACGGTACGTGGACACGTGACGGCAGTCCCCAAGTTGCGTGAGATCAGAGGTTGCCCATTTTCTGGCCCGGTAAAACCGTGCCCTCATGTGATTCCCGCCTTAGGGTAACTTAATGGCAAAGCCAGAGTACCACCTTCCCGCTCCTTTCACTGCAATCTCATCGTTGGCGGAGAATCGGTCACGTGCGCCAAATTTGACTACAGCACTCGGCGTTTCGCGAGGGGAAGCCACTTCGCGGAGTGCAGAGTTTGGCACAGGACGCATGTTTCGCCTTGCGCTCGCGAAATGTTGGTCTTGCATTGGAGTATGAGGAGCAGGAAGCTCCTCTAACCTTTTAGCATTGTGCATATCACTTAGATATGTGTAACTGCATTATTTTTATAATGCGACCCTGGTTTCAAGGCAGCCGCGAGCAAGCAGACAACACAACAACCAAGCCCCTGCGTGCTCACGCTTCTGAGGGATTTGGGAGGCGCGCGATGGGGCGCACATGCGGTGAATTCATCGCCTCTCGCGCAAGAGTGAAGTTTGCTTCTCCCCTGATACTTTAATAAGTTTAGGACCGTTGCGATACTCTGCTCTGCAAGCAGAGCATATACGGTTACTCTAATTCACCCAAGACACGTTGGTGCAACTTTTGTGCAGAGCACCGCAGTGCCAGCTGTTTGGGCATCCACAGATCACCTCTCCATTGTGTGGTAAGCTTGGAGTACCGTTTCGTTCTCGTTGGACCGTTGCAAAATTCTAACAATTACTGGCCCGTCCCGTCGCAGGATAGCTTTCCCAGTCACGTGATTGGGGTTCGCTCAGGTACAAAGACATTACAAGCTTTTGGGACGACGAGAATATGAACGAGACAATGATTGTGGAAGTTTACTGAGGTTAATCAGAATTGCAGTGCAGAACACACAAAACACAAACTTGGTGGGATGAGTCGAGGGGAAACAAAAATTACCGGTACCCCTGCTGTGTTGTGCAGATGAACCGAGACGACGGCCGAGGCACTGACACCTTGCTGCGCATAGACCGCACAGAATTGGTCTCCACCTTTATTTGAAACTTGGTAAAAGTACAAGGGTCACATTGTCATGCGACTTCACAATTTTCCTGCTAAATTCAGCAGGCAAATTTTGACGTCGCACTACATGGTGCATAGCGACACCGCAATGTTGTGTAACGTTACACTTTCCTGCTACATTTGTTGGGAACTGTTTCCTGTAGTGTTGTACGAATATTCAAATTTTCGAATGGTAGTTTCGAATAATTCGGTATTCGCTTTGAGGTGAACTGCAATATTCATACTTTTCGAAGTGTTGGTCGCGGTGGGTTAGTCCCGTCGAGTGTGCTTCTCAGTGAGCACCGGTGCACTGCGTGGAAGCAACACCCACGGGGGTATTGGTTCCTCGCAGTGTGCAGGTGCTCAATGAGATGTGCACTCAACAGAGCTAACCTGCCACGATTATACAAGAGTATATGTTAGTATACGGATGTCTTGACAGCCCGCATTCATCATTGATGCTTGCTTTATTTGCGCATAGAAGGGGATTTATAAATCCCCTCTCACGCTAAATTTAGTGGGCCACGCTACGCTGTATGTGCACCAGATCTGCCGCGAAACACAACTAACCACGGCTATCGCCTCTAAACGTGCAGCTTTGGGGGGAAACATAACTAAAAATTGCTCCACGAATTCAGCAATTTAGGACTAACATCGTCTCGAAACAATTGCAGGTGTCAACAGCTCGTGGTTGTGACTGCGCGGGCACTCTACGATTTGGTTGTCAAGGGGCAAAACAGGGTAAGTTATGTTATTCTGTCACTTATTTCACGTGTTCCCTTGTTAGTGCAGTGGTGCATTTCCCTGGTACCGCGTTCTGCATCTCTCTAGCTGGTACTCCTTACCGGTTACCGGTACCGGCTAATACATTGGATCAGAGCGCTGAGACACCCTCGATTGATCACTACTACCGTGCAATCTCATCGGAGGCAGTCAGCGGTCATGTCACCGTGACATTACCCAGTCAAGTAATGTCAAGGATTTTTCACCAACGTAATGTCAAGGTGTTTCACCAACGACCGGGAATAAAGAAAAAAAAGGGACACTCAATGTATTGGAGTTATTCCTTCGGATAAACATTACTGACCATGGCGGACATCAAATAATGAGTGCAAAGTGATCCTTAGCAAACAAACAAATCTATTAACTTTTTAAATATTCACCTTTGATGCCATATTTCAATTAGAGATTTGTTTCCTGCTGTCAAAATATCTAGTGGTGCCATCAGAATTCAGAAAACTGAATTCTTATTCCAGTGAAGATAGTGATTACCGTAAAATACCGAGCATGGGCCCATGTCACATTAAGGGCCCACCCCCTATTTTCGAACGATTTCTAAAACAAACAGAGGACACATCAACCGCCCTCCCCCCATTTTAGGCAAATTTAAAAAAAATATGCGAAGAACATGGCAAGCGCCCAGTCGTCGCGGACAGCCGTTATCTCCTGAAGTTGAAGCGACCGGTACTAGTTATGAGTCACGAAAGCGCGGGCGAAGGGGGCGAAGGGCGCCGGGAATCGGGCGAAGGGCTCTGGCGCAACACGGCAACACTCCGGCGCCGCGGGAATCGAGGTAAAATGGCAGAAATAACAAAAGATACAGGCGAGCTGGTGTACAAAGGAAGAGAGGCAAGGGCACGGTGGCAAGGGTGAAGCAGTGAAGATACACTACGTTGGAAAGGAGGATCTAGCGGATGGAAAGCCGCACAGAGCTTAGCGCGTGTGCTGCACACATGCCGTGTGCCCGTGTGCCTCTGCCCCTCCGCTTTTGCTTGTTGTTCGGTGGTTCGGTTAGTTCCGTGTTCATCGCGCTGCATTGCTTGCGTTCGCTCGGTTCGCTTGTTTGGACGATGCACTCGTATACGGTCGCTAGGAAAGTCGAAGTTGTTGGACGGCATAGGCGCCACGGAAAGAATGTAAGCTGTACATCGCGTGAATTCAAGATTGACCGTAAAAGAGTGTGCGAGTGGGACTCAAAATACGAATTGCTCCTGCAACAGAATCACGGCTGAAACGCAAGCTGTGTGACGGGGCGCCAGTCTTCAGTAAAGAGGTTGATGATGCCTTATCATCAAATGGCCGCCATTTTGAATTCGGCGGTCGGGTCGAGCAAGGGCCCACCCGACTATGCTATCCTTCTGCGTTTTTCTCTCGGACCTAACAAGCGCCCATCCCCGAGTTTTCCGCGATTATCCCATAATTTTGAGTGGGCGCTTGCTCGGTATTTTACGGTATACCTTTGTTTTGGGTTTACTATGGATGTCCTCACTCCACACTTTTCATTGGCGAAACTAGCGCTGTCTAAAGTCTACCATAGCAAAACCAAGGAAAAAAAAATATTGAGGATATATCAGAATGTGACACAGATGTTTTGTGATCCCATGGCCCTTGAGTAACGAGACATGGTCAGATGGCCTCGTAATGATTTCCGTTGCGGAGGCTGGGGGTGAGACTGGAGTCTCCACAGTGCTTTAAAGGGGTAAGGAAATGATATTCCAGCGCTCATTTTCTAGCTTGAATGTGTCGCATGTTGCACCCTAACCTCAAAAACACCAGTCTTCCGTTGAAAGGCACAAGAAAACTAATTTTAAAGCTAAATAAACAATCTTTCAATGTGCACCTGTTGGATGCATGCGGAGCCTATTTGGGAGGTAATCTAGCAATGTTGGGGAACTTGCTACGTAGTCATGACGTAGCAGATACCTTCGGAGCAGCGCCGCCCTATGGAATTTCAACATTTTCCTTCTTAGCTTTCCTCCTAGCTTAACTCACAAATCGCACATTGTACAAAACGGTCCAAGAAGACGGAAAGGAAGGACTCCCCTCTTTCTCGGACCCTCGTTCGTGTGCAACCGGAAACAGCCATTCTCCCCCTAGAAAATTAGCCTGTCGCTCAAAACTCGAAGAAAAGTTGCTTTCCCCACCTCATTCAGCCCTAAGCTGACAGTGTTCAGGAAGCTATGTGCTCCTTGGGGGCCAGCCACGCGCTCGTCACCCCATGAGTACTTCAAACAGCTCGGTTGTAACGCGCTGACGCTATTGACACCACCACAACGCTGACAACGCCACCAACGGCAAAGCTCATAACCACGCCAGGCTTGCTACGTCACGAATGCGGGGAATCTTTTCTTTCTGTTTTTGTTTGCGCCGGATATCCCATGACGCATCGCGCTCTCTGTTCATTTCTCTTCGAGCGCTTGCTCGAGTGCACCGTTTGGAACAAAAAATATAGCCAGTTGTTCAAAATAAAAACGTGCGAATATCATTTACGGTTATTATCCGTCACGCTTCACTCATTTCCGAACGAAATTTGAATATTTAAATTTTTGTTTCCGTACCCCTTTAATATGCCAGAGATTAGCGCCGGAGCAGGATTTGGCTATCTGTATTCTTGCGACAGCTAGGGCACATTTTGACGGCGAGAAACAAATCTAATAGAAATGTGCAAGCTCAGGTGAATATGCTTAGAAATTTAGTTAGTAAATTTTGGGTACTTTGTTTTCTAATTATCACATTACACTTGTAACCTGACATCCACCACTTTCGACAGTGTAACCCCGAGTTAATCATTTCTAGGGTTGTGCGAATATTTGAAATTTCGAATAGTAGTCCCGAATAATACATTATTCGATATTCGCTTCGAGAAGAACTGCACTATACGCGTTTTTCGAAGTGCTGATCGCGGTGGGTTAGCCCTGTTGAGTGCACTTCTCACCACGCACCGATGCGCTGCGGAGAAGAAATACCCGCGGAAGCGAGCTCTGCGGGTGTTGCTTCTCCGCAGCGCACTGTTGCTTGGTAAGAAGCGCACTCAATGGGGTAATCCGCCGCGATAAACACTTTGAAAAGTATGAATATCGTAATTGCGTGCTTGGAAGTGAAGCATACATTCAAAGCGGGATGGCGCACCTGTGCCGACTGTATTCCAAAATAAATGAAAGTTTGTGAACATGTATATCTACATTGTAGTAAAAGTTTCAAAATTAAACTGTTATGCAAAAGTATACTATGTTAGGCAGAGATGCCCTTACAACCTGTGTTCATCATGCATGATTAATTTTTTTTTTTCAACTCGAGATGAAAGAAAGATTATTTTATATGGCAAGATTTGTAAATTCACTCCTTTGGGTATAGTTGGCCATCTCTACAGGATTCATTTTATGTCAAATCTGTTGTTTACTTGTCATCCCAAGACACCAGACCTTCTGAGGTAACAGTTCATAAATATAGATAGATTAAACTTAGTTTGTAAATAAACAAGCGGAACAACCTTCACAAGTTTAGCTGGGTTTTCGTCTAAGTACAGTAAAACCTCGTTATAACAAAATGGGATATAACAAACTAATGGACATAACAAAGCAATCGTAATTCCCCTTGCTTGCTAATAGTGAAGAAATGGACATTGGCTATAACAAACTAATGGTTATAACAAAATAATTACGACCACTCCCTCAACTTTGTTATAACGAGGTTTTACTGTATTATGCAATGGTAGTGAAAGGCGTGGAAAAACTATTCAATATTCTAATCGAAAATATTCGGGCAAAACCACTATTCCCTTTGAATTCGCTTCGAACTCAAATTCCACTATTCGCACAAGACTAATCATTTCTTTACTTCCCCTTGTATTGGAAATTATTATAAGCCATTAGCAAAATGTCCTGTGTATAGTTTAAAAGCATAATCCACACCAGGCTCTCACATTTACCTTCGTCAAAAATACCAATAAAGGGGCTATGCAATGATTTTCGGACTTTGACCAGTTAACTGCGGGAATTAGTCCGTGTCACCTATTCACGATTTTCATTGTGTGTTTTTCAAAACTACTTTCACGGGGCTTTGTATTTAGACCACCAGGTGCTGTGAATATCCGATTCGCTTGAAAAGGCTGGCGAACGAATCTGCTGCCACGACTTTCTGCTCCAGCTGCTAGGTGCCGTCGATTTCACCGGGGTCGCCAATACAGTAAAACCTCAATAATTCGGATCTCACGGGACCGGCAAAAATGTCAGAATTATACGAAGGTCGAAATATTGAATGGGCAAAGAAAACTGCACGGAAAGGTTTCCCTCTGACATACTTTTATTTTGAGAAGAAATCTGTTATTGCCGCTTGCTTTCTGGACGACATTTGGGCGGCGACTACAACCTCTCCTAGCGCAGTCAGGTGCTCTGCCGCACTCACACTGTCAGAGGCGTAGCAAAATTCCTCGAGCACAACGAGAGCTTCCTTGGTTTCTCTCACAATGTGATGGGACGGGGTGGCGGCTACTCACACAGACAGTCTTCACATTCGTCCGAAGCATGTCTGTCGTCACACAGGGCAGCCCTGATGTTCTCATCGTCACTCGGCTGACTGGCCACAACAGCACCGTCATCAATCACAAGGCAGTCAGCAAGTTGCACTGGGACAGGAAGGAGACTTCGTCTTCAGCGACATCTGGGGTCTCCGCCGCCTGGCAGACTTCGGGAGTCATTGTGCTTAAAACAATGTGCAATAATCTCAGCGGGTACAGCACGGATACGTGCAGCAAAACGTACAGATACAGGGTGATTTCAGATAAGATCGACCAAAGGGTGGCTGGTCGACATTTTTAAATCAACTGATGTTTTTATATGACATTGTCTAGTGTCTGGTATAAACGAATCCACACTTAGTTTTGACCAGAAACAAAATTTGGAGACAAGAAAAATCGTAAGGCAGGGAGAGGTGGACAGTTGCAATAACGCGCACTGATGGAG